ATTGGTTGCGGGCATTTCAATCACAATTTATGGTTTAAAGGGGAAAAGACTTCAACAGAGAGTTCAATTCTCATTAGAAATCTGTGAATTGAGAATCAAGAAATCCTGACCTAAAAACAAGCTGAGTTCCAACATATTCTGAGCTGATATCACAGCATGAATGTGAGCTCCTCCTTGTGTCTGTTGAAGATAGGGTGACCATATTTTCAAGCCCCCAAATGGGGACACCTTCATTTTACCACAAGCCCACATGTATGGATCCACAGACTGGTTATCTGCTCTGTTCACACAAGGTCAAGGCAAAGGTGTCCTCCTAGCTCGCCTAGGTAAGCAGCATCAACAACCCTGAAATTGATTGAAACATGTACAGACAAATCACTATTGAACATTGATAAGTTTGGGCTCATGCAACCCTAATACAGCACGGGACTATTTCAATCGCTAGAAACAGCAGAGTCCTTGACAGTTTTTACGGTTCAAACTGGCGACTTTCAGCCCAATGCATCTGTGGTTGTCGGACAGAACGTGTCTTAAAAATGCCTCTTTTTTTAGCTTTTCATTGAAGACATATCTATTTTTGACCTTGTGATAATACAAAACTGTAAAAAAATGCATTTGGGGTCCTTGGGTCCACATTAACAATAAACTGGACTGGTCACACAGAGCAGGCTGTTCTTTCTGAGGTGACTCAGATCAGACTCCTGAAGACCTTCTACCAGTCTGTGGTGGCCAGCGCACTCTTCTTTGATGTGGTGCGCTGGTGGGGTGGCATCAAGACTGGTCAGGAAGGCATGCTCAGTGGTTGGCCTGGAACTGGACAGTTTGGAGACAGTGGCTGAGAGGAGGTTGAGGGACAAAATCTCAGCTCTCCATGATGAGCTGTGGCAGATCTTCAGTTCCTTTAGCCAATGTCTCATCCCCTCAAGGTTCAAAACTGCGTGCTTCAGGCGCTCCTTTGTGCCTACAGCCATGTTAAACAGCAGTGAGTCCTACAGTCTGTCACTGACATTACCCACAGTGGCTGTCACACTGCCACACCCGGGGACTCTTTTCCCTCTCACCGTCATCGACTGCCTGAATCATTTCAGACACGCTTCACTAAATTAAACTGTCACTCGTCATATTACTCAAGTCAATACATATCAAAATGTCACTTTATCTCATAACTGGTCAAAACTTAACTTAAACTTGCCACTTAATGTGTCTAAATGTCCTTTATAGTTTCTAGTGTATAGTTTGGATCTTAATTAGTGTATAGTTTACGTAATACTTGCTAGTTTATAGTTGTATAATACCTATAGGTTGAATATGCTACATATTTAGTTTTTATCTAAACAAGCATTTTTACTCGTATGCATGTTTTTCTGATTGTCTTTTACTGCTGCAACACTTGAATTTTGTCATAAATAAATCAATAAAAAGATAAATACATGTAGGAGGCAACTGAGACCCAAAACATATCTGTAGTATAAAGTGGTATGGAGCTACTCTTGCCTGCCAGGTGGGCAGTTATATAAGCGTGACGTTACATGAAAGCTATGAATTTGGGAAGTATGGTTACCTAGTTCAACCTAGTTAAAGAGCATGTTGTAAATTGTCATTCAAAAAGTGAAACCGCTATTCACAATGTTTTTACTGGCTTCAATTACCGGGTCTGCTTGTTTTGGAGAGAAAGTGAACTTTGGCAAGTCAAAAAAACACTTTCCCAGTGAAATGGTTCCCAGGCCCCCGCAGGACGGCTCACAGACCAAATGAGGAACTAACTTCTCGGGAAGTGTCCATGTGACTCTCATAGCATGTTTCCATCTCATGCCAGTAACTCTGCTTGACCTCTCCTTCTTCACTGCAACCTGTTGAACCTTCCCCAGGAACAGACTCGTGGACATGCAGCATGGAGGCTCTGGGCCCTTCAGGGTTCTTCCAGGCCTAGCTTCTCCTGCATCTTTCAAGGTAAAAAACCAGCGTTGCAGCACATCCTCGCCCTATAAACATGCCGTGATAGCCTGGTGAATCTTAAGTCCCCTTCTTTTGGATATCTTTTCACACCTGCATGCAATGCTTGTAACGGCTTGTCAGCTGTCCTGACTTCATTTTTATTACAATTTTTTAAAAGTATGTTACGATTTTCCAAAATTTCCATACTGCTAACAATGCATAGTGAGTACTTGTCAAGGAATAGCCTATATAAATGATATACTTATGAACATTTGCTTCTACTCTAAATGTTTGGAGCTCACACACTAAATAATAGGAAAATAATAATACTAACTACTGTCGGCAACAGTGCAAAAGCTCTGTATACAAAGTGGATCCTACCATAAACTGATATTCTGTGAGCAGGAAAAAGAACATGAAGAAGCCTAAGCATGGTAAAACATATTAGACAATAAGCTAAAGCCTACTGCATCCTGTCTAGAACCTATATGCACACCTGACTACTGGATTGAACGACTGTATGGAATGAGTCTCTGAATTCTCAGCAAACAGCAGAACTATGAAAAAACACACACACGCACACACATTTGTCTTACATGGACTAAAAGGTTACATACACATTTGGGCTGGAGAATGCAATCTTTGTGCACAGATGCCCTATATTTTGTTAATAATAATGTAGGGGCTGTATATATTATTTACTTATTTACCTCTGTGTGGTCTCCCCTGCTGCCCTTAAATACAGTATGTTATGTGGCTGTGGTAGGGCAGGAAAAGGAATCACCTGTGTGAATGACAAAATAAATATGATATGATAGAACAAAACTTTAATTAATGCAAGTCTGGAAAAAGCAAGGTTAGGCAATTCTAGCTAGACTCAATGTCACTCTCAAAGTGTGCATTTGACATAACATCATTTGAATTGTCTATCTAGCTAAACAGCCATATCACTGTGCCCAAATCAACATTAGGACTTTCACCAACAAATGAAAGGTCACGTTTACAGCAGCCTATATTAGAGATTTTAAGAGCAAATTGAATTGAAATGTGTTGTCTCACTCATCTCTCATTGAATTGGATCGATGATTATCACTTACGTGACCAATAATGTAATTGTTATATTCTCCAAAACGTTGAAGTCCTTCAGTGTTGTTGTAATTAGATGTTATTTAGTAAACAAGTCGCATGAACCATAACAAGGGGCTTTGAGTGTTTACTTATCACTATGGTTTCAAAGTTTAGATACAGGCTGATCACATCCATCGCATTCATTTCAAATGGGGTACATAGTTTTGTGTGAACTAACTTCTACCAGTTCAATTATATGGAGTTCAGTCAGTTCAGTCAAAAAAGAAAATGTCACACATTTTGGAGTTTAAGAGTACAAATAAAATAATAAATAAATCCTGGGTCTAAAGGCAGCACAAATATGTGTCACTCTGACGCCTTGGCCACACTGCATTCCTGTACATGTGCTTCTGGAAACCTCTTGCTTTTTATTTATGCGTCCATACTGACAGATTAGAGCTCTCTAACCTCTAGCTGTCACCATGCATCATGGGTGTCTCTCCTCTTTATCACGTCATGCTTAGTTCTCACACTTTGAGAGTGAACATAACCTTTAAATAATAACATATCGCCTATGGTTTCACCTATATGTCAGACCGGTGAAAAAAACAATACAATGGCTGCATTAGTTTAATATTTCTGGCTTTACTAAATACATTAGGAATTTAAGATGATGTGAAATGATATATTAATTTATTGATTACTTTTATCAAACTCTAATTTGCCTGCCCGTAACAATTTGGCCACACTACATGTGAGGCTACAGACACATGCTGCTCCTTGCTAGCCTCATCTCTGAACAAACCCTGCCCTCTAGTGTCCAAACCCGCTCATAAAACCTCCCCTAGTCCATGGGCTTCCTGAAGTCATCAGAGAGCAAAAGGTGCAGGGCTCAGGGAAGCAGACAGAACATGCGAGTCCACTGACCTCAGCAACTATAAGCAGAGACTTCATTCTCAAGTTTCTTTTTTTAACTCACTGCTCCGCCCACCTCCTCCTACACCCTCCACCATCAGTGACAGTGATTTAGGATGGTTTTGATGATTGTGCCTCTGTCTGTCAGCACGTGTCCCATCAGACTTGCTTGTATTGTACTTACTCTTGGGATAAAACTAAATGAATTGTAGAATTTGCAGGATGGTGCTCTCATGGAAGATAAGGCTAAAGGAGCAGCTCATGAAGTGAGTCAGCAGAAGCACTGTCTATGTGTGCACATCAGAGCATCTGGAGTATAATGCACAGGTTGAGGTCGGCAGTGAGACCCAGGCATGAGATCTCTTTTCTTTCTCTTTACACACTTGATGAACACTGATTAACATTGTTGACTTCACTTCTTTAATTGTTAGGTCACTAATATAAGAGCTGAGTTTTATTAAACAAGTAAAAATGTGATATAATGTGGCTGGGATGCAAGCCAGTGTTTTTAATTATGGCGGTTTAAGGTGCAACTATGGAGAACTGTTTTTTTTTTGCTAAATATAGATCAGCTTCCTTAACCCTTTCTCTTCATATTCAATTTTACTAGTGAAGGTATACAGTATAGAACAACGACTGACAGATCTTTGAAATGCATGCTTATGTATCAATGCTGGGAATCTCCCCTGTTGTCAGTATCTTATGGAGAATCTTTTGGTAGAATGGGGAGAAGACGAGCTTGTTGAAGTTGACCAGGCGACTGAATCGAACAGCCAGCTCTTTGAGCTCCCTGCTGACTGGAGTCAGACCTCCTGGGAGAGAAGGGCTCTTATGTTGACTGGACTCAAGGGAAGCCAGGAAATAGCTCTGAACTCGTGAGTCTGAGATAAGAAGGGAGGAGAAGAGAGGACATCACTGTCATTGCAAAATAAAACTGAACATTTAACACAGTTAATCAGATGCTGTGAGCTTTACTACTTCTCATATGGAGAGTGAGACCCAGTGAAGACCATATGAATGATAGATTTCCAAACAGGCATGGCGTTTTAAACAGATTACTTCCAAACATTTGTAGCTATACTACACTTGGCTACAGGTACAAAGAAACACTTCCTTCTAACAGGCAGAAACCTTGAGCCCAACCAGAGGCATTGGTGAACAGCCATCTGATGCATCTTGATGGGCAGATAAAGTAAGAAAGATTGCCTACAATCATCTAATGTGGTAACTTTCTTCCCTTAGTTTAAACAGAAAAAGTTATTGGTCGTTTTTTTGTTGAAAATCTACACATTTCTTTAAGGTATATCTAAATGATCATGATCTTCATCTTACCAATCAGCTTGCGGACTGTGTTGTCTGGCTGGATGGTGGCTGAGATTTGTCCCCTGAAAGTGTTCTGTTGTTCAGCTGAGAAGGGAGCATATCCATGTTTGCTAAGACACTCCGTCAGATCAACGCACAGTTTCTCCCCGATGGTGGCTAAGGCCTCCTGTTCACTAAATGACCTTGGAATCGGCAACAAAAAAAGTATGTAAGAATATAAACACAACTTTGGTAACAATATTACCACCTTTTAAACAATTGCACAAAAAAACACGGACGAAGAAAGCAAAGAACCAAAATGCAACCAAAGGTAGCAGAATGAAAACAGAACCTACATATCCTGTTTTTTCGACTAAGTCCAGAATGTTATCATTTATACAATTATTGCTAAAACATCAGTTTGTATGTTGTAATAACATTCTGTCTTCTCTGAGCATTGGGAGCAAAAAGGCGGCAGTAGTAGGTTCTGCACAGTTTGGGTTGGATCCGGAAAGGTCACTGGTTCAAGTCCTGGTACTGACCAAATATGGAATTGGGACTGCTTGGTGAGAGTTGCCAGTCTTACTTCTAGGCCATTGCTGAGGTACCCTTGTCTTAGGCTACAAACCCACAGCCTCCTCGTGTAGCCTCCTCAGTCTGACATCTAGGTACTGTCTGTGTATGCTGAGCCTATTTGTATATCATATCTCACAAAAACAGTGATTCATAAAAAATATATCTGTAACAGACAATTATGTAAATGTGTATTTGTAAAAGATGCCAGAAGGACTTGACAAAATGTCAGTATTTGCTGACGGTCTGCTTTCTCTGTATGAGAGTTGCAAATTTGACAGCAACCAAATGCAAAGCAAGCAATTTGATATTTTATAACTGCTGTGTTGTTTTCATTTACAACACTCGCTCACAATCTCTCCTTCTGCACTAAAGGCTCTTTCATGAAGGCTGCATGGATTGTTACAATCAGTGGAATATGATACACCTTTACACTACCCCTGTTAAGAATACAAATTGTGATATTTACAAAGATTACAACAAGCTCAGGAGTTTGTGTAACTTACAAATATATTCACTTGAGTTTCATAACAGGAGGATTCATTATCTGTACTTCTGAAGCCAAACTGACCAGATAAACTCCCCTTGGATTGGTTTGAAAAGGGGCTGTTTTTCACGTCTGTATCCTCATCATGCTACTTTATTTTTTTCTTTGATGGACTGCCCATACATCACATTTCCTGTTCATGTCACTCCAAGCCAATGGATGCATAGTGTATGCATTATTGTAGTTGATGCACAAAAATATAGGACATGTAACTTCCCATACTTAGTAGGGCACAGAGCATGATTATCTTGTATGATTAACAGATAGATCAGTGTTATATCATCCGTCATCTCATTACACTGTGATATTATCAAGTTCCTAAAACTGGCTAGCCCCTTCTCACACTCTTCCCTGGTCAATGCTGGATCATCACATGTTGAAAAATATAAATACAGTCTCCCTTACTAAATAAATACTGACTCAGTTATATACTGTATTTTATGCAGAAGTGTCTTAAGCTGAAACTACCTCTTAAGCACTTAAAGAGACAAGCCCATTTCATTAAAAAAAAAGCTGTTTTAACAAGACAAATAAAGGATCAGTCAAATATGAGAGGTGAGTGGTTTGTTACTCCATATAATCTTTGCAATATGCATTTGATCTGACATTCAACAACACAGATCTAGATCACTTATCTAGGACCCATGACCATTTAAAACAAAGAAAAGGCAATCAGCAATACTTATAAAAGTGAAAAAAATACTTTGGGTAACAATAAAAGTACTAGTACTCACGGTGTGTGTATGTTTGCAAGCATGACATTGACAGTGTTTTTAAGAGTCTCAATAAGCCCTGGGAGGCCAGAGATAGCTTCTCCTGTGGACGTGTAGACGATGAGGAGCACAGAGGAGAGCAGAACTAACTTCTCAGCCTCCTGCTGCATGTCCTGGAAGCGAACCTGATCCATCAACACTGTCTAGAGACGAGGGGAAATACTGTTTCATACAGGCTCAGTAAAAAAAAGATAAACAACTTCAAGAAATGGAAGTGAAAAGATGTTTACCTCTGGGAATGGGTCAGACGCGTGATCCCACTTCAGCAGGAGTAGATAGGCATGATTATGGACATCAACTGGACTGAGTGAGGGAGGCTCAGATGAGGCAGAGCCAGTCTCCCTGGCTTCTCTCAGAGATCTCATTGAGTTCTCAAGCCACTTCTCAGTGTAGTCTAAAGCATCTAAAAAGAACAGATCACTTCAGAGAGCTGTATGTATATGTATGTATATATATATAAATAAAAGTATCAGTTTCTCTGATGTTCCTATTCATAGGTATGTGTTTTGATCAACTACTGACAACATTTCTCCCAAATTCCAAATAAAAATATTGTCATTTAGAGCAATTATTTGCAGAAAATGCCAAATGGTCAAAATAACAAAAAAGATGCAGTGTTTTCAGACCTTAAATAATGTGTCTTAAAAATGTTAAGGATGGAAGCAACCTGACGCAGACACTCACTGTATCCCTCTGCCAGTAAAGCCAGAATTTAGCCCTTCTTCTTTTCCTCACTCAAAACTTTTCTTTTCAACTCTTTTGGCATGGTCAATAGTTCTGTTTTTTTATTGCGATTACTTTTGAGGCACTACTAGCACTGTTTGTGCCATCCAGCTGGTCCTATTGCAAGAGGATAGTGATGACCACAGCAGTGGTTTTTATACTTTTCCTCTTTTAATAAGATTTGGTTCAGGTGATCACCTAAACAGTACCTCATTAAGTAGAACGAGGTGCAGTGGTCTCTTTGTTTTTTTCCAGAGCTGGTAAAAATACACACACACACACACACACACACACACACACACACACACACACACACACACACACACACACACACACACACACACACACACACACACACACACACACACACACACACACACACACACACACACACACACACACACACACACACACACACACACACACACACACACACACACACACACACACACACACACACACACACACACACACACACACACACACACACACACACACACACACAGTCTATATAACACAACTTATATTATGGAATACGTATTACTTACTGGGTTGCTTCTCTAAAAAGTCCCCGAATTTGCTCCTCTCATACTCAGCTGATTGCTGCATTAGATGAGGCCTAATGCTGCTCAGAGCAAAGTTAGCCATGTCCATCTTCATCAAATCCAGTACAGAGAATATTGCCCTGAGAGAGAGGATGGCAGAGGAAGGCACATACACAGAGAAAACATAGATTTGTCACAAAATTATCTTTTTGAGTGTCTCCAACAGCACTGAAACTCAAAGTAAAATTGTTGTTGGGTTAACTGGACATTCATCAGAAGTATGCTTTAAGAACTATGAACAGTAGATATCAATCAGCACAGCCACGGTCTCACAATGTGGGAGCTCAAATGAAGGAAACAAAGCTATGTACCACTGTACACTGAGAAACATCCTACATCTTAAAAAAGTTCTTCATATAATCAGTGTAAGTGTCAGCTAGAATTTGAACCCACCCCTTCCCCTTGAGGTCAGATAGTCCTTTCCTTTGGGAAAACTTTTTTATTTGTACAACTGTTCTTGGTTCCTATACATGCTATCTGATGTTTTACACTTTATACCAGCTGTTAAGGTAAAATAATGTTTGTTTCCAGCTCAGAGTATCCTGTCTGAGATCAAGGTTTAGAGATTATACAACAAAGAATAGTATAGACTTCAACTTGTATTTTTTGACTGAGAAGGCTAAGTCTCCAGCTAGCTTATCTAAACTGATAACAGTCTACTGTAAGGGATATATAAAACCCCACTTTAAGAAGTCCCTTTAAGGCTTCACTGATGTGGAGATGTGTCCCTCCAAGACTTCTGTCCTGTGTTTGAGTGGAATAACATTTTAGGCCTGTAACAAACAGAACTAATGATTGTCTGTCTTAAGGCTTACCTAAGTAGAGGAATAATACCAGTGATCTCCTTCAGGTTATTGATGTCCTCATCTCTGCAGGGGGCGCACAGCGAACCCATCATCCCCATGATGAAATCGGACAGTTGACTGATGTCAAGTGCTCCATTGTCAGCCTGCTGCTGTAAGAGAGGCAGGTCCAGAACCTCCTCTATACGGGAGCGCAGACGTCCTTGGCCCGTTTGCAAGAAAGACAGTAGCGTCTGGGAGGGACGTACGATGACGATTGAAGACGGGCAATATAGAAAAGACAGGAATAGAAAAGGTATTGTAGTATATGCCGACATATGGTAAAGCAGGGCAGCCATGACCTTCTCAAAACACAAACTACAGGACCATATGTGAAGAAAAAAGATGGCAACCACAATCAAAAGTCAAGTGTCATGAGGCTTGTTTATCTCCTACATTAAAAAAAACAACACTCTGCTTCACCTTTTTAATCTCAGCCAGCAATTTAATGGCATTTTCATACTTTGGTGGATCCTCCTTCAACTGAGAATCCAAGCAATCCCAGAAAGCTTTGTGCATAATATCCTTCACTCTGCGCTCCAAACTGTACACAGACATGAGAGAGAGTGTTAGTTCAACAGCAACAAAAGAAGACAGCCACAAGAGGAAACAAACATAGAGGACTGTTACCTCCCCTCTGGTAGCTCTGAAGGTTTGACTTGAAACTCCTGGTTGACCATTATCTCATGAGCCAAAGCCATGTTTGTGACTCCTTTGGCAGCTTCCATCAGTTCCTCCACCGAGACAAACCTGGGAGGACTGGCTGTGAGGGGAGAAAGTCCACCCATGAGTCTTTTATTACAAAATTAAACAACTTTGGTGTTGTTAGATTTTGGATTAATATCTGACTGGCTATTGCATTTGTGAAGTTTGTATACTGTATTGTTTTATTATCATTATCTGGTATTGTAATAATATGATGTATTACATGGGTCAGCAATGTAAGATTGGTGTAAAGACATTGGAATTTAATCATGGCCCTAACTAAGGCAAATAAATCTAGAGAGGAAGTTTAATCCCATTTATGTATGAGTCATATAAATATGTTTTACCACATTTAATACTTTAACACTTTAACTTATGTATCACTGATTGCACAGCTCTGGACAGCTCCCTATGTCAATACTGTCCATTTACAACTCTGTTTTTGCACATTTACATCTACCTCCAGCAAAGTATGTTGTATTTAATCTTTCATATTTAAGACTAGAAGTATTGCTAAGTTAAATCCTGGTGTATATATTCCCATTCTTAGTTTTGATATTTTCAGTGCTTATTTACTTTGTATTTAATATTATATTGTGTTTTTTGCTCATATTGTGTGTTTGGACAACCTGCTGCTGTAACACCACAATTTCCCAGTTTGGGATCAATAAAGTAATTCTATTCTATTCTGTAATTATCAAGCTTCAACTCTTAAAACCATGGTTGTTGCTAGACATGACAAACAACAAATATGCCGGGATAACATCTCTGGTTTTTTGTGCCCTATGTAAGTTCACATGTTCCTGCTAAAGATGGCCAGCTGAGGAGAGCCAGACCAACACAACTTGTAAAATACTCCGGGCGGTGGTTGAATAAGTCCAAGCTGTAGCCAAGAACTTGAAAACAGTATGCTAAAAAAAAAAGTCTAAAATCTGATTGCCCATATGGACTGTCTAAAATAAAGTTCTGGTCACCAAAATCACATCTTTAGAAGCAGATATTCAGATAGCAGATGTTCTCTTTTGGTGATTGCTGATAGCAAACGATTTAGAGGTTTATGTGTACCCAAAAGCAAAAGAGGTCAAACTTCATTTATTACTAACCCTAAAAGCAGGTAAGTCATGTTCAAACTAGAGATCTCTTAATATCTGTGCCCATACACTCATAACAAATATCTCAATCTTAGATTGCTCACTCCAAATCCCATCCCTTGAAAATCTAAATTTCTTAATCAGAGTGGACCTTCACTTGAAATTTTCCAACTGATCTTGAGTCTAAATTTTTAAACATTAAACATTTCAGCCTGTGTGTGTTGCATGACTTACAGAGTGTAAAAACTGAGTTTCCCCTTGCGGGATCAATAAAGTAAATCTTAATCTTGGCACAAAATTTGGCATGTATGAGGTGAAAGCCTATTCCTTTGCAACACCTTAGGATGTGACTTTAATTAAACTATATCAAGTTTTATGTCATGACAATGAATTTCATATGGACTCTTAACTAGAGATCCATGTTATCATTTTAATGATGAGCCAGAACTTTTCATTCCTTTGCTCATAAGAGGATTCTGATACAAACAGTCATATCTTTCTAAATGTTAAGCACATCCAGTGTTTGTGTTTGTGTGAATGATGGTAATTGTTGTTCTGTGTAATCAGCTTCTTGGTCACCTTGAGGAGTTTCCCCTCTAGTCGGGCTTGGAGTATCTGCACAGACCCTTTTCCTCCCTTTCTCCTCAGAAGCATCTTGCATCCTCTCCTTTGACTCCTCGTCTCCTTCACACTCCAGGTGGTCTGTCCCCTTTGGCATACTAAAACAGCAAAATAACAAACGTGTTTCTCATAAAATGCAATCTGCAGGATTATGAATGCTGTACAATGCTGAAGTGCGGATGTTTTCATAGCCTACGTGTTTAATGTGAAATGATTTTAAACATGAAGGCCCTACACCAACGAGAGCAGCAGGATACTGTTTCTCCTTGTCTAGAAGAGAGACTGAACAAGCCTCTTGAGACTGCGGGGAGGTTACTAACCTTGTAGTCGGCAGCCCAGATGACAGTTTGGTAAACAGTGAAGCTCAACGTATCTGGTAAACCTTAGCTTCAGTGAGATAGTGCGAATCACTAAAGCTCCTCCTCACAATGCAACAACAGCGGAATTATCACCTGCAGATTCATTCACCAACAACGGAAGACAAAGCCGAACACATAAAGAAGGCTTCCTTTATCTGTTTCATCCTACAAAAACGATAGTCATCCACTGATGGGCTACTAGCGCTAACTGCGCCTTTTCCGGTGTTGGGATGTGTTGCGTATGACGTAGCGGTCGAGCCCTCTCCTGCATGTGTCTGCTGACCCACATTCCCCCTTTATTTTTATTTTTGTTTATGAGTTTTTTATTTATTCTTTATTTCGAACGATTAAAAATAGATGAAAATGAATAGCCTAAACAAATGGAAAAAAAAATCTGTATAAAAAAATAAAAAAATAAAAAAGCCAATTTCAATATAATACACATTTGACTCGTTCAAAAAGGGATCGGAAGAAGCCTAGGCTTGTCAAGTCCTACCCCCATTCTTCACCATTAACAAATGCAAAATCCAATAAAATAAACTAAACGGACAATACAAAAAAATACTCAAATCGAGCTATTAAGAAAAACAGAACAAAACAAAAACAAACAAACAAAAAATAACAAAATGAACAGGCGCCATTAACATCTGTGAGATTTACATTCTCCTTCCTCATTTCTGTTCTTTCCAAAGATATATCTTTTGTACATTTTTTAAAAATTGCATTATATTCATACTTTGTTTAATCGTTTCGTCAAGATCATTCCACAAAACCACCCCACAAATGGAAATACACATACTTTTTAAATTGGTCCGAGCATAATGCTGTTTCAAGTTTAGTGTCCCTCTGAAGTTATAACCCCCCTCTCTGTCTTTGAACAGTTTTTGTATGTTTACAGGTAACAGTTTATTTTTTGCTTTATACATTATTTGTGCAGTCTTAAATTCTACCAGATCCCCAAACTTTAAGATGTGTAATTTAAAAAAAAAGTATATTGGTGTGTTCATAATATCCTACATTGTTTACTATACGACTATAGTATGGCTCTTTTTGTAGTGTGCTTAGTGATTGTAAGGTGGTTTAGGTGGTTAGGAAAACATAAACTTTACAAGCAAATCCACTGTCAATATGAACATTTTGTGGTGTGTTTCAAACAGACACAAAAACATATAAATAAATAATAATAATAATAATACATGAATAACCAGATACAATCTAGATGTATATACTTAAATAGATTTAGCGAGTGTACTTCTAATATACCCCGATACCAATTAGGCAATTCTATATAGTTATAATATAAGTATATTACAACTATACTAATACTAATACTATTAACAACAGCATCAATAATTGTAGTAACAATAAATACAATAATAGTACGTATGCAAAGTAATGATTGAGAAAGAAATAAGAGAAAGAACACACAAATCCAGTGTCTATTCACTTGTAATATATCTAATTGTAACAATTGCTATTATTGTTTTAAGTAATAATAATAAAAACAAAGAATTTAGAAAAAACAAAACAAACAAAACAAACAAAAACAAACAAAAATCTCTCCCCTTTATTAATCTCTCTCTCTGTCATGGGTCGTAGGTCGAAGAGATTGGCGGTTTTTTTAGTTGTTTTTTTTTAAAATCTGTCAATCAATGCTAAATGATTAGTAGCCTAAGGCATTTTGAAAAAATCTGGGAATAAGTGCCTTACCAAAAGATTTCTTCACCAATGTGTTCATAAAGGTGTCTTGTAATACATGTAAAAATATTTAAAATCCAACTCCTCTGTGAAAATCTGTAAGGCTACCTATTGGATCATATTTATCCTGGCTTTTCATAAAGCAGTCCAAGTATCGCGGTAATAGAAATTGGCTGTGGCTGAAGATTCACTAAAGGATGGTTGAAGTTCTGTTTAGTCTTTAATTAGGATTTCAGTGTTGTTTAAATATTAATGCAGGCTTCACAGCTGACGTGGAATTAACATTCAACATTCAACATTCATTCGTTTTGTCAGAGGGGAACATTAAACCCAGGTCAAAAATGGACAAAGATAATCACCTTAAATATATATATATCTTATGCCAAATAATAGCACACATCATTAAATACCACAACATAAAATACCATGATTGATATTTGTTTCAGTAACAGAATTGAATACTAGATTGTGAGTCAAATAGTGTGTATTTGTTATTAGGGGGGGCTCTTTCTTTTGGAGGGGTGGCCACAGGGGGGACCAAGCTCAGTTTTACAGGAGTACTGGCCCCTGTTGGCCCCTGCCTAGAACTGCCCATGCTCGGGCTATTATAAAAACATTCAAAACAACAACTCCTCCAGATACCAGAGCATTCAAGATAATTCTAACTAAACTCATTAAAACAAAGTGCAGGTGTTTGAAGGACTCTCTACTCATGATGCCCACAGTTGACTCTTTCCCAAACTGTTTTAAGACAAAGTAAATATTTTCTTTGATTTGGCAAGTCTAGTGGCTTTCCTTCAGTTGTACTCTTGGGACAACATTACATCATTGATCATTTTCATCACTTTCATCCACTGACGGGACATCCCTGCCTCGACATACACAGGCAGTGCGAACATTTACAAAGAATATATTCTAATATGACACGTAAAGGCTAAGTCGACCCTTCCCTGAAAACACAGAGCCCAGTACAAAAAAGTTTAACTAAAACATGTCTACATGGTTTATATCTGCATATACGTTTTTTTTTTTTAATAAATAAAACCTTTCAAGATCAATCACTGCACCATAATATTAATTGTAAATAACTTCACTGGTCCAATAATAAATCATTTCTTTATTTGTTTTTTTCACATATAAAGCAAATACAAACACAAATCTTTCCTATATGTAGCCTACCTTGAAAAACAAAACTAAGATTAAAATAATTAAGCTTGATTACTATGGAACAACATGTAGTGAAACTGGTCTACTTCACTGTGTTCACACATTTAAGGCAAATCGACAGCAGATTCACAAAAATACTGGTGAAATATCTGTGGGTGGGCTTGGGAAAACTGTCCAAGTAGATGCTTTCTCTTCTTAGTTGAAATGGTGTTGTCCAGGTGGATGCTTTTTATCAGAGCCCACAGTTCCTGGTTGGTGTTCTTTGTTTTTTCATCATTATAAGTCTTTCTGGAGACCTGTTGACAGAATGAAGAACCTGAAGGGCAGGAAAAAAAAAAAGCATTTAACGAGATGGGACTTAGTGTGCCAGTTAACTATAACCATCGGAGAACACTTTAAACTAGAATATACACAAACTTTAAAGTTGTTAAAGTTATAGAAGAGTTTCACAAATCCTTTACACATACGCAACTTAAAATGTAAAAAGAAAAAAAAAAAAATTGATGGGAGTGGTTATAGTGGACCACAATTGCACATTTGAGGGATATAATCCAATCAATGTGCCTAAAGCATAAAAACATGTAAGGAACTGAACTGAGCTGCACAGTATGGCTGGTGTTTGGTTATCCAGTGTGACTGAACACTGCCCTGCAGTCTCTTTATATGGGGATTAAAGAGGAATTTTATTTGCAATTAGGAAAACATGCACAAGCTTCCAGTTAACAAAGACACAGCATTCATCAGTTTAAGAACATGTCTTGAATCCAATGCGTTTTTCCTTGGGAGCTTTCTGAAAACAAATTGAAAAATCTTAAGATATTGGTAAATGAAGCCCATTGCATGTGGAAATCATTTTTGCTCCTCTGCAAACTTGAAATGCAGCATTTATAGTTCAAATTATGACATCACTTTTTCTATCTGTAAGGTATATAAAAAAATATAGTTCCCATTATCAGTTGGAATACAATGAAAAGTACAGGGCATTAACATTTCAGTTATGTGCAATGAGGACACACAAGGTCACTTTGATCTGTAAAAAAAAATAATTCTGCTATGTGTTTCATTTGTAAAGAGAAGATGTACAATGGTCCCTTTATAAATTAATGAGGCTGATACGTAAAGTGCCCATCAGTATGTATTCACACACCGCTACACAGCATCATTTCAGGGTAGAGTGTACTTATTCATGTGAACCTCTGACCTTCCTTTCAATTGAGAGACAACCGACTACCACTTAGCCACAATGCTTTCTCTTGGGAAAAAAGTATGTTTAATGAAAAACATATGAGTGGTAGTAATATCTGCAGTTGTAAAAAAACAGCTACCCATTAACATGGTTTTTTTTCTACCTATCGATTTAAAAACAATTTGAGCTACTATTTAAAAATGAATGGTTTATTTGTCTTATACAAAGCTATTTGTTGTTGGACACTGCTGTTAGATTTCCACTCATGAACAGTCATTTACCATTTCGATTAGGCTTCTTCCCCTCTACAAGGAAGGACAGCTGGTCACTCACTCCTCTGTGCAGAGCCCCAGGTATCTACAGCAAAAAGAATATATTAGAATATAGTCTGGCTTTGAGACTGGTTTCAAGTTTGAGAAGGAGTTCTACATGAATGGTATGCATTAACCCAACCTATGATAGAAATTGATTTACATGTCTCACATCTTCAAACTCACACTGTGTGCAACATTTGTGCAAAGTCAAATGTGGACAATGTCAGGACCTGACTGTCCAGACATTTCACAAGTTAAAATGTGACAATTACCACACAGCAAAGTTACAAAACTTGCTTTTCATTCTAAATGAAACTGTGGTGTAGAATGTAATGGTACAGCATGTCATTTCCTTACTTTAAATATGTCCTTAACGTTGCTGAGCATGAAGACCACCATCAGGTCATCTGTCTCCTTTGACAGAGCCTTGCAGCGGAGAACTGCTCCAGAAAAAGATTTCATCACTGCCAGTCTATTGTCCATCTACAGGGCACAAAATCACATCTTGGATGCCAATTTACAAAAAAGAAAAACAACTGGTACAGGATCGAAAATAAGCCCACTACTTTAGTGTCTGTCTGTGGCAAAGCGGTACAAAAATGATTTCTTAAAGACCTTTTTACTGAACTAAAACTACATCTGACACTATATCTCTACACATGATATGGTTAAGAAAAATCCCATCGAAATACTTCATGATCAAAGTGGATTAAGGAATGTTATATTTAGTAGTCTTAGAGGCTTTCAAACTCACAGAAAACTCCTGATGTTTGTCAGAGGAGCTGTATGCGTGAACTCAAACAGCCACAGTTTCTCCTGCCAGACCCCTAGTATTCTTCAGTAAGTCAGAGAGACCTGATGTTAGAGCGCAGCAGGATATTATTTGGAGAATTAACCTCAGTGTTTCCCCTAGGTTTACAGCGTTAGTGGGGTGGGGACAAGCCGACACAAACACTTGAAGGGATCTTGGTGTTCATGTGTTACTTTTAATGACAGATGTCCTGTTCTATGGGAACGGTATCCTTAAATGACTTCTTTCCTTGATTTCCCACTCTATCCACTATCCTATCTCTACAATAAAAAGGCACAAAAAGCCCCCAAAAAATCTGTAAAAACCTCTTACTTGACCTTCAGGGGGGGCGGGCCACCCCCCTAATATAATGGTAGGGGAAACACTGAACCTCTTAGCCTATTAGAGGGCAGGGTCACATTTATGTACTGTGACTGCTGCAGTGTACAGGGTAGTATGTATGCTATGATCTCTGTGCACGTATTTAAAGTCTGCATTCTGTTTGTCACTATGTTGTTCTCCACTCTTGTTGATGTTGTGATTCCATTGAACTACATGTAGCATTGATTTAAAGGCAAAGGTTCTCATTATAGCATAGTATAGCGGACACATCACATCTTACCTCAAGAGATGTTGGTGCAAGCACAATTCTTAAGACATAATGCCTACCACAAATATGTTATTATGCTGGACTAAACACAGGTTTTCCACAGATTAGATCTCTATGAGGATAATGGGAAAAAAAAAAAAAAGAATACACTGGCAAGATCTAAACATTTGTTATCAGGTATAATTTTTTAAATTCCAGACATTGATAAGGTAAAAATGTCCTGAGAGTTTGGTCATTTTGAAAATGTATTATACAGTATGAGATTTAGCAACTAGCGTTCACCTTTTTGTCCAGTTTTATCCCCTGAGGGTCTGCTGCAAGAGCAGCGAATGTAAGCAGTTTGTGCAGTTCCTCCCTGCAGGTGAGAGGCAACAGCTTCAGACAAAGCTGCAGAGCTTCAAGAGCTACAGCTATCTTAGAGTTCACTGGTGAGGAAAGAGAGACAATAAAGTTAGTGATGTGAAGATACTTAGAATTTATGAAAAGTTGGGCAACTCAGGGAGGGAAACAGGCTTAGTTACAATTCACTAATACAAGAAAACTGTGATTTGAGAAACTGCAAGACACAATACTAGTTTTTACCCAGCAAGTCAATGATTGCCATGTAGATGTCAGTCATGTGCTCTGGTAGTAGTGGAGGCCTGTGGCTGTAGTGGGTCACCAGTGTCCAATATAACAGCAGTTTACACTGGTCCAAACAACTGGGAGAAAGACGGGGCTGTTCATCTGTGTTGTGGACTGTGGCAGACACATTTTACAATTGAGGACACAAAACTTTAGTCAGATAGTTGCCTTGCACTTGAGAAGTGCCCACCTCTTAAGACTCATCAAACTACTTGCCTTTATCTTGCAAACTGTTAGGAGCTGGCAGTTGGTCACAGCAGTCCAGTGGAAAGCAGTGAGGTAGATCTCTGCTCAGCTTTACTACTGGCTGATCAGGGAGAAAGACCAGACAGTCCAGAGCTGCACAGAGCCACTCATCGTCCCTGAGAGAGAAGTCATTTAAAAAAAACTCTGATTAAAGTCACTGTATTGTTATCTCCAGTATATCTGTTAGGTTCAGATTTACGACGATTGACAACACTCTCTAATCTGCACTATTTATTTAAAGCTAGCCTTTTAGCTTATATTAGCTTGGCAAAGGGACTATAAACATGGGTCAAAGGGGTCATGTGACCAGTACAGACATAAGACTGGTATGCTTTTTATGTTGAGTTTAGAGAAGATAATTAAGTACAGTTAATATCTTGTTTGTCAATTAGGAAAATCTTATAACAATGCATGCATACGTTTTGAGTCCAATACTTCAAGATGAATATGACATTCTTAATAACTGCCTATGAAAGCAGCTAAAGACAATCATCAAATTAAAATATGCCGTCATATCAGTCACAATCTGCCTTAGACCACTACAAGATATTCACTAAAAGCATTTTCTAAGCCCCAAACAATGTAAATCAACATACTGAGAGTCTCTGAAGGCCTTGAGGATCTGTCTGTCCAGGTGGTTGCTTTGAGTCCAATACTTCAAGATGAATATGACATTCTTAATAACTGCCTATGAAAGCAGCTAAAGACAATCATCAAATTAAAATATGCCGTCATATCAGTCACAATCTGCCTTAGACCACTACAAGATATTCACTAAAAGCATTTTCTAAGCCCCAAACAATGTAAATCAACATACTGAGAGTCTCTGAAGGCCTTGAGGATCTGTCTGTCCAGGTGGTTGCTGCTGTTTATCAGGTCTGTGTTTTTGTGAATCAAAAGGTTTGATGGGGTCGAGGATGGGTCCTGGATGCATTGAAGAACACCTTCCAGCAGTGGGAGCTCAACCAGGTTCAGCAGCTTTTGGATGGTCTGCTCTTTCCATATGTCATCTAACACTGGAGAGTGGAACAAGACAAAACAAAAACATACTGAGAAGTTGTAAAGTTTCTCTTCAATTGTAAAGACTTCTTAATCATTATATTATACGGTCCAGACAACTTCTGTGTCTTATAGAAATATAATTAACTTCAATGTTCTTTGATGTAAATGTGTACATAACACTTGGGATTTTCCAGTGATCTATAGCAGTGGTTTCAAAAGTGGGGGTCGCGAGACACTGGGAGGGGGATCGCGAGTTGCCTTCCAAAAACAAATGCAAACTGGAAATGACTTGAAATTACATATTTTACCTATTATTGTGAAATGACATCCAAAAATGTTGTTCAATTAGTTGAAGGCTGCTGTATTTTTTATTGTTGTTCTAATGTCAGTGTTTGGATAGGTCCATTAGTGCGTGCTGCTGTGTGCAAGTTATGCTTTAACCACTTGCAGGGACAGAAGGGGTCCCCGGTCTCTCGCATCGTTATTTTGGGGGTCGAGGGATGAAAAGTTTGGGAACCCCTGATCTATAGGATGACATCATTAAGGGAAAGTATAGTGGTTAGTTATTTGTTGTCTAAAGTCTTTACATTACTTTAATCAACAGTGCCGGTTTGAAAGAACGCTTTAGACCAAAGCTAATTTACAGTTTTCACTTTTGCACAACTCACTTGCCTCTTAAATTGAATTATAGACACAAAACACAGTCCTAAAGATGAGAAAAGGGAAAGAATATGCCCTTTGGGTTTTTTTTATGCTCAATGGAGCGATGTAGTGCTTCTAAGGGCGGTGTTCTGAAAAAAGTTCTTAAGCCTGTGACAACAAGTAAATGTAGAAGAAGATAAACTATATATTGATCATTTTCACATTAAAGCATTAGGGCATTGGTCTCTCACGGGATTGTGGTAAACTGTCTGTTCGCACTTTGCCAGAACTCAGACCAGTAGTGTCCAGCAGAGGCTCCACTGACAGGCCAGCAGTGTCCAGTTGGTTGGCTTTAGTGAATGTCTTGGTGGTCACCTGAACATGTGTCCCTGGGGGGCATGCCTGGTCCTCCTGCCTGGAATGCAAAACACACTATTCTACAATGGTTGAGGACATGATAAAGACTTTGTGGATATGCTGAATGTGTGTGTGTGTGTGTGTGTGTGTGTGTGTGAAGGGGGTATAGGTCATGTCACAAAATGACATTAATACAAAGGAAGGATTTGTCAATTACTGGTAGAACCATCCTGTTGACTTACTCTGTAGTAAAGAGCCTGGCAAACACTCCCTGACCACGTTCACAGGAAATTAAAGGACTCTACTTTTTGGCTGATCTTCTGGCCAAAATGTAATTAATGCCCCTGCTTGGAAAGGAGAAGATTGAGGCTCTGCAGCCCTGTCTCACCATCCTCATCCTCCCAACACAGAGCCCACTGATGAAGGTGAGTAGCATTGTGTGGCATGTCAATTCACAAAATTCCAGGAGGGGCATTACATGTTTCCTGTTTTAATGACTAAAAAAGATAAACCCTTTTTAAATAATAAGAACTCAAACAAATGTATTCTCTTTTCACATCATGACCATAATTTAAAAAAACCCTACAGTTTCAGTTGGAGCTTATATTATTCTATTGATGAGAATTTTAAACTAACTCGAAGTATAAAAGGTAATACACATTCAAGGCATATTTATACAAGTTAGTCATGAATGCTAAGCACATTTGGCCATTATACAGGAATAAATACTTCTGTATAGTCCATTTTAATGTTTTTCTATTTTCACAGCACACTGTCAATCAATATTGTACAGTTTAAGTACAAGATAAAGTCTGCCAAGTATAACTAATATAAAGCCCTAAAAGTGTTGATAGGTTTTTGTAGTTAAGATTAAGACATCATACCTTTCTGAAAAAGTAATGCAGAAGAGCTTTTGGATCTCATCTAGAGGCCAACCTCTTTCCAAATCATCAATTGATTGAGTACACACAGCTGCAAACCTGTAGACACATGATGATAGCTTAGTATGGTCATGCATTCACTGTCAATGTGTAAAGAAGAAACACATTAGTGTGTATCTCACCTGTAAAAGGCACTCTTGCTGTCCTGAAATAAAGTTGTCCGTTTGTCTTTGCCAAACACTTTATTACCCACTGTCTCAAACACATTATGGTCTAAGAGAGCCTGGCAAACACTCACCACTTTGTCCCGAGAAACACAGGCACCTTAAAAAGTAAATGAAGCAGTAAGAAGACAAGGCGACTTTTCAAATCCCCCTACGTTCTTGTGACATTTCAGCATACAGAAACATAGGCCTATGCGTAAAATCCACACCTAGCAGTCCAACACACACCCTGAAATCCTTTGACATTGTGGATATGTTCTTCCACCGCATCGGCAGCCTCTGAACCCAGAAAACAGTCACTGTGAGACTTGAAGTGGACTCGTTGACGTTTCACTGTAACCGAGGACCTGAGGTGGGAGATCAGGCCTCTCCAAATGTTGCAAACCGGTTTCCTGCTGTCTCCATGTGCTGACAACATGCATGGAGAACAAACCGAGTTGATTAATTTACAGATGATCAGGACAGAGACCGTATAAGACAACAAGAAGAGCACGTGAAGGACATTACTTTAAATTAACCATCATGTAATTGGGGGTTATTAGTGGGGACATTTCCTTTTTGGTGCGCACAGTTTATATAGCTCAGCCTAATGTTTGTCAGAATAAAATAAAACAACGAGACAAAGTAAAACCTCAGGTACCTCGTTGAAATAGTTGTTCAATTTAGGCTACATACCTTGAGGACGCCCAAACATTTTGGATGTAAGGTTCAAAGCAGCGGCTCTGTCTTTAATTGAAGCCATGTGCACACGGGTGGAGGAGCGACAGTCAGCACCTAATGGTATATTGTTAATGGATAGGCTATGTATGTACATATGGTGCATTATGTGGTGTCGGAAAAACGAGTTTCCGATTTGTAAAATGTATGAACGAGTCAGAACAACAAGTCGGAAACTCGGGAAAAGTTGCCCGACTTACCGACGCTATCTCATAATCGTCATCACATGGTAGGCAAAAATAATAGCCTATATAATAATATTTGATAATGTTAAGATACTTTTGATTAATTCACGTATTGCACGTATTGCAACTTTTTGCTGAAACACAAGTTGTTACAGGGACATTCATACATCTTCTCTTGGAAGAAGTCGGAAGAATGATTCCCCAACTTGTTAAATTGGGGCCATCCGAGGAGCTCATGGATGCAGCATTATACCGGGTTCTGGCAGAAGCACCTTTGTGTAGATTTGCAATTTTAAAATGTACCGCTAGATGGCACTAATCGTAAAGTGACTCTGGCTGCTGTTGTTATTGGGCCTATCGAATAGTCAAAGAAGCTTTAACAAAAAAGATAAAACCTTTAAAATAGACCACACATTCAAGATGTACCAGGAGAGTGAGAAAAGCTACATATTTTATGATTATGATTATTATTTTTCATTGTTTCAAGACAAATACATTTACAACACAAGACAAACAAACTATAGGCCTACATCTATGTACAACTATATACATGGGGGTATCAAAAAAACTCAACTAAATCTAAAACAGAAAAACAGGGTTACAGTAATAATTTTTCACAAATATTCAAGGTTTTGTTTGCTTTTTTGTCTTTCATCCATATAGTGTTTGTGTTCCATTTCTATTATGAATTGTTGTATTTTCTGATACCATTTACATTTGTGAATAAAATATTTCCCATACAGAATAAACAAGTTTAACATAAATAATTGTTCACTGTCAGTCCCACTCTTGCTATAAAAAAAGATGATATCCTTTTCCTTTAATTGAACAATCAGTCTTTGTTTTAAACAAGAGCTCTAACTCGAACCAAAATAAATGAATATACAAACATTCATAAAATAAGTGAAAAATGCTTTCGGTTTTGTCATTACAAAAAACACAAGTTTTCTCCACCTCTCTGAATCTTGCGATTATTTGGTTTACTAGATAAATTAAAAGTATAATTTTAATTTTAATTTAATTGGTGACACAATATTTTTGATTAAAAATCCAAACTGACTTCTATTCTATATTACCAAACTGAGCATCCCAAAAGGGTTTGAGGAGTTGTGATGTCGTGACAAAGCTTCCTTAGGTGACTATTGGTGCACTTTTGGTGTGTTAAATAAATTCCCCCCACCATAAGGTTCAAATTAAATTGTGGGTTCACCTCTCCAACCCCCTGTAGTAAACACAACAATCCAGAAGGAATGGCATCAAAAACAATGGCAAACTCTTCAGAGTAACTGGTATTCCATATTTCTTTAAGAATTCTGTGTAAGTAAACAGCAGTCTGTTTTCATTTAATCACAAATAAAATGTAATTTTTAACCCAGATGTTAAAAAAACAGTGTTTTATTTTTATATCTGATATCCTTATTGTTCCAAATTAGAGTTTTGTGTGGAGTGAAGTTGTGCTTATAAATCGTTAACCAAGATAATAAAGCTTCTTCTCTGATGTACGTCGCTTTGGATAAAAGCGTCTGCTAAGTGAATTGTAGAATTGTAGAATTCATATCAAAATTACAATGTAAAAGAAAATCATTACCTCCTTCCTTCTGAAAAAATAAGCTCTGGTATAATATACCATAAACTATTATTTCCTTATATCTTTTAACCCAATTTACTTTGAAAACCGCGTTTGAAGTACCAAAATCTAAAACATTTAAACCCCCGTCACATAACGAGTTACACAATAGACTTTTCCTTAAATAATGTGGTTTATTCTTACACACAAAATCAAAAAGCTTCGTGTCAATCTGTTTCACTATGGATATACCAGCCGTGAGAGCACCTCACTTTTAGACAGTAATACACGTCCTTTTAAAATAAGTCTCTTCATAACCATAAATCAAATTTCTTCTTTACATTTTCAATCATGGAATTAAAGTTCAAATCCACCCTTTCTTTTTGTCCTTACAGATTTTGATGCCCAGATATGAAACAACATCTTTTACAGGAATAACACAAACTACATTAAAATCATTTGGTTTATATTTTAGAGCAAACAGCTGACATTTATTTTCATTTACTTTTAAACCTGATGCCAAGGTGAATGCATGGAGACAGTCAATGGCTTTCTTTACTTCATTTTTGTTGTATAAAAAGATAGTGGTGTCATCTGCTAGTTGACAACATTTAATTTATTTCTCCTATAAGTTAATACCTTTAAAATAATCTTTATCATTATGAAGTGCCATCGTTTGCATGACTAGCAGAAAGAGGAAAGGAGCTGCTGGACCCCCTTGTTTCATTCCTCTACAGATATTAAAACTAGGAGTGGTTCCATCTGATAATTTGACCGAACTTCTGCAGTCTTTGTGTCTGAACTGCATGTTTGAAATAACTTCCAAAACCACTGTATCAAAGGCCTTTTAGTAGGCCTAGTCCACAAATCAAATGTAGCTGTTGTCACTAAGCAGCTATCAAATCCAAAATGAGGCGAACGTTGTTACTTATGAGCCTTCCCTGCATAAATCCTGATTGACAATCATCAATTATTGTGCTGGGCACAGTTTTAGTCTTTGTGCAAATATTAAGGACAACAGTTTAGCTTCATTATTTATGAGAATAATCAGTCTCCAGTTTCAATATCAATGCATCTTTACCTGGCTTGGGTATAAAGGTAAAAGCCCTTGTGTTGCCACTATATGTAGCCTACCTTAATACCTTAATACCTTAAATAAATCTAGCTTTCTGAGGTACTGAGAAGTTGTTGGTCTCTCCTGCCACCTAGCCTACCTGTTTTTAATCAGTTTTATTTTTCAACTTTCTCAAATGAAATACCGTTGTTGTTTAATGTGATACACTGACCAATGAGGGGACAAGCCAGGGTTTTTCTTCTACAGAATGTAATCTGAGAAAGAAAAGCCAGATTTATATTATTTTTATATTTTGTATTTTAAGTTAAGTTTAAGCTTTAAGTTGTATTTAAATTGACACTTTGATGAAGCATTTCTTTCCCTTCACTTGCCCATACACACCAAAAATACATAAAAGTGGCTGTATGTTTGTGGACTTTCATCAGATCTGTGTAAGACGGATTCTCCTCTAAGCAAATATCACTATGACGTTCTGGTGTTACGGTTAAAAGAGTGACTTTCAGACAAACGCGACTGAAAGTGTCCTAACAAATGCCTCTTTGTTCCGTTTTTGTATTCATAATATCAAAAATACTTATTACATTTGTTTGAATGAAAACTAGACAAAGAGGCATCCGTTAGGACCTATGGTTAGGAGGCTCTATAACTTCCGACAACCACAGACGCATTCAGATGAAAGTCACCAGATAACATGGTCACTCTTTAAACCGTAACACCAGCAAGAACTTCGCCGTTTGTGGCGATATTTGGTGTCCCGTGTGCTGTGTGACGCAAGACCCCAAACCTCAAGGTCTATTTGAATTTCTCTGTTAACTTGGGGTGTCAGGTGATGTTAACACGTAGTTTATAAAACATGTTAAATTAAAAATGTGCTGCAGTTCAACAGTGTTTTCAACGGTGGGCGCCATACTACTTCCGGGGTCCGCGATGGTCACGTGACTGAAAGTTACGTCAAAGTTACGTCAAGTTACGTCCACAGTCTATGGTTACGTCCAACTCCGTCCTGGCGCCCTTTTACTACTTGCCGCCGGGCGTTATCGCTGGAAAGGAGAAATGATGCACAGAAATAAAAAGTAAAGTACAGTCAAGGGAGGACACAGCTGCTGCTCCATATTGTGTGTGTGTCTGGTGAACAGTGTCCTAAGGTAAGGAAGGCCTAAGTATACCTTTAAACAGGGCTGGAGCAGCGATTTTAAAAGTGCGGGAGTTCTAATGCTAGTATATTACCACCCTCTAGCAAATCAACACATTCTGTTTCATTTAATGTCCAATAACTTATATTAGCTGACAACAAGACAAAGTTACAAAAGATTATAATTAGACACTAACTTTATGAACATCCATTGTGAGTAACCCAGTTAGCTCTAAAAAAACAGATTCAAAACTGCTCTTTGTGATGCTTTTATTTTCTTATTGCCTTACGCCTCAGTCTCTTTATTTTCGGTTTTCATATAAAATGTGTTTTTATTTTGAAAAACTGCAAAGGGGACTTCCGCTACATTGTAAAGTTACGGGAGTAAATAAATACAGCTAAAAGAACAACCAAGAGGACAAAATGTTACGCTTACGTTGTTTTGTGAGGTGGATTTATCCTAAAAACATCTGTTTGAGTGACTAACTCTCTTTCAGATAGGCAATAGTCTCATATCCATTATTTATTCCATGTGAAAAAATGTAATTATAATGAACTTGGCTGGACGCCAATAATATTTTGTTTATCAAGGTCAAAGTTAAATAACACTTTGGAACACTTCTGGATTCTTATGAAGAGAGTCTGGTTATTAGCCAAAACTGTAAGCACATAAATGTAAGGCAGAGTAATAAGAAGCTGGAAAGTGTTTGTTTTAATCATATGTTTTTAATTTGAAGAGACACTTCACATAATATGTAACATACAGGAATGTGTAATTTGGTTTTGCCAACATATACATTTATTTGTTATTATCCTAAATATATTGTCCTAATGATAAAAAAAACCTTTAAAAATAACATTTACCAATGTCAAAGAGCTGTCTCATTTACTTTTAGTAGCATGTAATAATGATAAATTGATCAAAGCCCTATAATCTATGGAAGAGGCCATTTGAAAGCAGACATTTAAATATTAATAAAAATCCTTGAACGTGTTCCAATAAGTACTACTACACCTACCCATGTACACGAAGCAGCTAAATTCAACTTCCATTGATTTATTTTGTTTTAACACAAGTGCTGTTCATATTTTAGGGATGGTCGTACTTTAATACCTGTGTTGCTGAAATCTCTACTGGGATCACCTGGATTACAATATGAGGGTTGTGGTTTAACTGTTTTTGTGCTTCTTAGTGCTTTATGTTAGTTAACTTGTGTTGGTTGAAATAAATGCTCCTATAATTTGTCTTTTTCATGGTCCATAGTTGGTGGTTAATACCTGTTCAACTTTATAATAGAAGAAGAAAGTAAAGACGATCTGCTCCCTCTCTCACACAGTCACAAACACATTTTCAATGAGCATGTTAGACACTTACATTATCACTATGGCACACTAACTCACATTTACACATTCCCTCCTCACCTCCCTCTTCAGCCCGAGGTGACACTGTCATTTTTAATAGTTGCCAATTCTAGCAGGGATCATTTAATTCTCCCAAATGATTTACACCAGTGCAAGTTAAATGGGAAAAGGGTCTCTTCTATTAAGAGATCAGTGGCTAGTGGAGACCTCCCCCTTAAATTGTCATATTTTCTGCTAGGTACGTGTTAGGTGTGTGTATGCAGTGTGTGTCACTCAGTTTCCTGGTTATGTTGAGGAGGCAGACAGTTGCCAAGACCATCCACAGGTCAACTTATATAACCTAGATAATTTAAAAAGCATTGACAGCACAATTTGTCCATGCAATGTTATTGCTTTGACCCCTATTAGTGTCAATGGGCCAGTTCATTTTTGAGCAAGAGTGCTTATCAATGTGTTTCCTTCACACTGTGATGGGGTGGTGTGAAACAAAGACAGAAGAACATCCTGATGGTAATTTAAAAGCCATTAGTTTAGATTGTAGTGATTATGCAGCATTTGAATCTTTAATGTGCTACTATTATCAAATAATTTAGCAGTAAAAAGTGTAGAAAAGGAAGTAATTATAAGAGTGTGAGTCAAATTGCAGACTGTTACTGCTTATTAAACAGCCAATTCAATTAACCTTTTCTTAACATAAACTTTATTTTATTGATTAACTGTCAGCAAAGGCCTGGTGGGACCTTGATCGGCCTTGAAAATACTCAATGGATCTCTGTGCAGACTCGGGGACACTCAGCACACATGCAGCTGTGAGTAATGTCTTCTGTTAGTAGAGGAACTGTTTTATTTTATCATTTTATGATTAGATTGGAAAAAAAAAACGGTCAATATGAACATGTAATAATCGTGAATTTTGGTAAAAAATACATGTTTTTACTTTTTGATATTGTATTTAGTGTCGCATGACTTTGGCACTGTATTGGGCTTAATCCTTGGCATAGTTAAGCCTTTTTTTAGATTGGGTTATAAAATTGGCAATATTATTATTTGTGTGTGTGAGGAAATTATTAAAGATTTTAACCATTAAAAAAAAATGTGTATGCAGAAAGGAGGACCTGTGCTTGAGGAGGAGCTGTCTTTCTCCAGCAATCGTAGTCAAACAGGAAGTGGAAACACCATCTTACTACAGTTGTTGGAATTTAAAACCCATCTCCTTGAAATTGTGGAGGAGCTGCAGATTCAGAGGGTATAGTAGCAGTATAGTTTTGGCTTTTCATATTTTTTCAGTATTAAAAGAAGGGTGGGGCGCGCTGGTGGCCCAATGGTTAGGGCGCGCGTCCCATGTATTGAGGCTCTCGTCTCGAGTGGGAGGCCCGGGTTCGCTTCCACCCGTGGCCTCTTTCCGCATGTCATTCCCCGCTCTCTCTCCCTGTGTTCCAACTCTATCCACTGTCCTCTCTGTACATTAAAGGCACGAAAAGCCCAAAATAAATCTTTAAAAAAAAAAAAAAAAAGGTAAAAAGCTATTACTCAGGGAATTTCAAGTACTCTATTAAAGAACAACACTAAAGCCTAATTACTAGGCTTCACACGTATAATTTTCCAGCAGCAGATTGCATTCCACTTGTTCTGACCTGTTCACCAAAGAAACAATATGTCCTTGTTGATTTGTATAATCTAAGAGAAATTATGACATTTAATACATTATGTGTATGAGGAATAAAATGTCATATTATTGTCCCTAACCCCCACAATCAATTTGTAACCCCAAACATTTAAAGAAATAGGTATACTGTTAAACATCAGAAAGAAGTTATGTGGAATCAACTACTCTTTTCTCATTGTGTATCTTAATATAAAATATTTATTAATTTTATGTAAATTAGACTTTCCAGTCAACTCCAGAAAATTAATTTCCAAAGAAAATTATAAGCACATGAAGCAGAGTCCCTAGAATGCAGAGTTTGAGAAGTATTGTGTACATCATTGCTGTTTTAAGCAGATTTTATTAATTAGGGTTATTTCTTCGTTCCAAAAAAGTACTGGATTGTCAAACTAAGAAAATTTTAAAGAAATTTTAATTATTCAGTTTGACTAAACTGTTTAAATAAAACATCCATTTAAAATCTTTAATTCTAAAAAGTTTTCCAAGATTAAGTACCCGTTACTGAGTTCATTTTACATTTACAAAACTCATACTTAAAATGTAATTAATTATTCTACTTGCATTAAGTCAACTCATATTTTAAAGCAGCACAGCAACTTAGATTCAGCTTGAATTTAAAGACAAAGTAGCTGTAATCGTTTTTTTTTTGAGGGGGGGTTGGCTCACTTTCTCAAGCTCCTATTCCTGATCAAACCAAGGTATGAATGTTCAGAAAACCCTTTATACAACAAAAAATGCAATACCTTATAGTAGCTTGTGCTGATTAAAAGATAAATATCTTAAAATTATATTAAGTTTCATATATACACAAGCCTTTTATTCAATAATATGCACATTTATTTAACATAGCTGATTGTTAGTAATATTGTTACATTTCTTGAAAAATTCAATATAAACATGTTTATTTGAAATAATAATATAAATATATAAAAAATATAAGATATAAAAATATTTTTAATGTACTTACATTACTGTAATCTGCAACCAAAATACAGGACCGAGCTATGTATGTATTGCCCCTTTCACATATGCAATGCACACCTAATCATTTTCCCACATTGTCCCTGATATCCTGAACGCTATCTGTCAAATTTGCTAACCCTGACTTTATCGTAATGTTTTCTTGCCAGAACCCGAGTAAAATGTCTGTGTAGAGTGAGGGTGATGTGTAAACACAGCTGGCAATAGTCTTTGCAAGTTCATCCCGAGCGAGTTGGCAGGGTTATCACATTGTTCACAATGTGTGGAATTTCCCTGCATTATACTCTTTAACGCTTAACATATTTGTCAATATATTGTTTGACACCGTTGTGTTAATCTTGTTTAAAATAATGTAATGTCTTCCTATTTGAACAGCTGGTCCACATGCAATAAAAATATACAATATATATACAATATATACAAATAAATTCGGCCTTTTTTTCACTGAGATTATACACCATACACCATGCACGTGTATGTATGGAAAAATACAATAAAGATATAATTTTGGAATAAAAAATAGCTTTTTTTCTTAACCCTTGCCATTCCTATAAAGTTTGCCTAAAACTCCTAAGAATGGAATACCAAAAATACCAATGGCCTGGGTGGTCAGAATCGAACTGAACCGAAAACCTTTACCTGTATTGTTGCTTCCCTAGTGTCAGTATAATACAGTCAGATACACCTGTGTTTTCCATCATCATAATCCAGATACCCCCTCTGTCCTCTGCTCCTTCAGGAGCATTTAAAAGATTGGTCGATCATCCGTTATTGCAGAGGGTTATTTCCGGATCATAAGAGGAAAAGAAGTCAAGAGGAAGTATTATTTAGCATAATGAAAGGCACCCAGGAAGACAGGACACAGCTCTATTTGATCCACAACTCTGAAATATAATGATCACATACACAAGTGCCCCCCCCCCCCCCTCAAGCAAGTACTTTCAACCTGACAACACATTGTATGTGTACTTAAAGAGTAGGGTGTGCAAATGGGATGTTGGTTGTTTGTTGCCATTACTTTTTTATTGTTATAGTTTTGTTAACCAGGACACAAACATAAGATACTATGAGTATGGTTCCCCTAAGGCGCTGCTTTTATTAGAGTAGCAGTTTGAAGTTTTTATGGGCTGGAGAGGTTAAGAAGCAAAAGGATGTCCAGACGTTCCTTAGCAGGTCACATTCCAATTGTTTTTTTTTCTTTAAAACAAAAACACAGTACAACCCTCTGTTTCAGTCTGTAAGAAACTAAAATTACTGAAATGGCATACATGCAGAGAAAAAAATAAATAAAGGTGTGTGCATACAGCTTTCAGAGCAGGCTAAAACAATGTCGTAAAAGCATGAGACACAATCAAACATCAGCAACAATAACAGGTTGATTCCCATGTTTACGATCAGTGTCTGTGAGCGATGCTGTGCAAAGCAGGGCTACACCACCTCATTTCTTATTTCATTTTTTTTGCCAACTTGAACATGGATAAGGAACAAGGGAGATCCAAAAAACACTGGGAGTGACCAACGGGAAAATCCTCCTTGATTTTCTTAAGACTTTCTTGCACAACATAGCTTCTTTGCTTGTTTAACAAAGTGGAGATAGTGGTGCATTAATAAGATCCATAATCAAGTTTGACATATTCTGCTTTGACTTGTGTTAATACAGTACCAACATTTCCATTTCGGCTCTTCACCATCAAAAGCTTCTTAATACAAAGCACCACACTTGCAAGTGAAAGCTAGAGTAACCCACAATTCACACATACTCCGTGCGCGCCGCGGTCCGTCAGCGCCGCGCACTAACACACAAAGAAGTGAATATTTAACAGATAAAGTTTGGGCAGTGAGCGTTTGTTGATGTGCGTTGCAAAGCCATATCTGACGCTCCCATGCTGTTGGGAAAAGCCATAAGAAGCCTTTTGCAATATTCACGTAAAAACAAAATGTGGCATGAAATATTGTATTCTTAAAACATACATACCCCTTGCATGAAATAACGTCTTCATGCCCAGATACAACAACAATTCCTAAAAATGTTGGATGCTGTTTAAAATGTAAATAAAACAGAATGTTATTATTTGCAAAACATTGAATAACATAATGATACGTATGTTGTCTTTGTGCTACTTGGGGTTTCAGTGTTTAGCAATGTTTATCACATTTTATTTACATTTACATTTTTCACAATAACCCAACTTTATGACCAGTAGAAAGCATAAATTTAAAGGTTCTATATGTAACTTTTTACATGTATAAATCATTTTTTATCACCCATTAATAAGCGAACGGTTAACTGATGTGAAACAGTAGATGTTCACTGTCTATCTGTGTTGCCTGTGTACAAATTTTCCCCGGGTCATACACACTCCCGGTCTTCACCTCCACAGCCAGAGGCCGTCTTTCACACACTTCTATCCGCTCTAGGAGCTCTCAAAGACAAACTCATCACACACTCCTGCTCTCAGCCAGTGCCTGCAGAGACTGTCGTTTGTAGGATGGAGAATGAATACAGACACACAGACTCCTTCACAGACTTTCACATATGTGTGACCACTTACCTCCTCTGTTAACATTATGCCGGTAAATATCCAGTGTTTGGCGGCCGATGATGATGCTCGTTTGTGTACGAGCACATATGACGAGCACGCAAGGGAGAGCGAGCAACAGGTTACTGGTGCAGTTCACCTAATGGCCATGCGGTATCGCTACAGACGCAGTATTTTTGAAAGAAGTAAAAAGTAAATAAGTTGAGGAATTGTTCAACAAATCAGAAATGTAAATGTTTTAGTATTCTTAGTCCAAAGTTGATTTTTTTTGTCCCCTTGGATTTCTATTGATTACTAATCTTAATAAAGCTTAATAATGTCTTTAAAAAAATACACATTTACAAACGAACACACCTCTCAAACACAAAAACTTTTCCTCAGTGCAAAATTAACAGTTTTGTTTCTACTGCAATCTTTTTTTTTTAGGTGACATGCCACCCTTCTAGCATGGTTTAATGGGGACTTTAAAAATAAACTCAGCGAGTAAACCAGCTCCCCCATGCACATAAAAAGTCCTGAGGATATAGAAAGCAATTGACTTTTACCTTCCTTCTCTGGGAGAAGAGGGAGGATAGGCATGGCTTTCCCCATATATCACCTCCCTTCTCAGTGTGCTTTTCTAAAAGACACAGAGAAATGAACAAAAGAAACATACTGGCTCAACTCCACTGAGTTAGTTGGCTAAAGAATAAAATAAATTGCGTATTTTTACCTTGTTCTGTGCCTGTTGGCATCACAAATGCAGCAGCCATTCCATCTTAAATCACTGAATTGTTATTTTATTTATCTGGTTTTCCTATTCCAGTTTTCCTTTGTGTCTGATTGCAAATTACTCCTGGCTTGGAATGATTGTTTTCTCTTAGCAAAACTGGTTGAGAATCAGCCTTTATGTAACCTTTTGCATTTCCATGGTTCAGGATGCAAAGACACTATTTGAGGATCAGATCAGTAAGCTTGTGTTGGAGAACCAGGAGCTGGAGTGGGAGAAGGTATGGCTGGGCCTTGCTGGTTTTGATCAGTACTTGGGTATTGGGTTGACATTCACAAAATATAATATGATCTTAATTTCAATTGAATTTAACAAATCAAACATTTTTAAATACTTGTTCTTTGTTGTTGCTTTGATCATTGTTTTGATTTTGTGTGTGACAGGCATCCCTACAACATCAAATAGAAACAGTGACAAACCAGCACACTGAGGCCCTAATGAATGCACAGAAGCAGGTATGTTAGCAAATGTTAACAGTGTTTATACTGAAAACTAATGATTTGATCATTGCATTAAAACCATTTGAATTTATTTACCCCTCTAGTTCCAGGCCAAAATAAGTAACATTGAGGAGGAGAAGGTAAGAAGAGGTTATTCCCCAACATGTCTACAATATCATTTTGTTTAATTGATGTTATAAGTGGAGTAGTAAATGTGCTCTGGTATTCATTGTTCTTTGGCACTCACGGTAGTATTTTTCTTATTCAAATTGCAGGGGATATTCCAAATCAGTGTTGAGTTAAAAGACAAGGAAATGATCAACTTAAAGGAGGCAATGAAGTCGCTACAGGTACTTCAAGCAAGGACAGCCTCTTCTCTCAATGTGAATCTCTCTCTCTTCAACACATCATCAATGTTCTGTCTTCCTTTCTGACAATCTTTTTTTAAAATCAGAAGTAAGGTTAATATCATTAAGCTGTTCAATGAGATGCTTATGCCCGACTAGAGTCGAGGCTAGACGGTGTCACTGCACAGGCCTGACCTAGTCTCACTGCTAGAGTGTTAATCTTCAAGGATGACACCACAGAGTTGATATACAGCCATCCCCACGGTCTGCTGCACTTTAACAGCCCAGCGGCGTAACAGAGACAATAGACTGTTTGGCTAAAGTGAGGCCCCATGTGTGAATTCCTTTGACGCGGTCTGGTGGATTCATTTAATTTAACAAATTTCCCCATCAATGACAGTTTGCATTGAAGTGATTTAATTGCCATGTCATGAAAATTTGCTTTATTGCAATTTTGGCTCCATTAGAACAGTGCGGTTTAATTGATCTATAGTTAAATCTAAATAATTAATAAAAGCAGTCTAATATTAGTGAATACTCTGTCTGCAGCTACATAAAAGGCAAATAGCATCTTAATATAGTACGCAGGTAATGGCCCTTTGATTTGAAAATGTATGCCTCATTATTTGTATTAAATCAGAGTCATTTATTAATCCTTGGGGAACAGAAGTGTGTTTCAAAACAGTCATGTTGTTGCCAAAAGTAAACAAACTACTGCATTGTCTTTGAAACAGGCTGATGTGCTTCTTAAATCTGACACTTTTAATCTAATTTTAAAACAAATTCACTATCTTGGAGCTACATATTCATATGATACAATAATATATTTCCTTTTTTGTTGTTTTTTATTTTATCAAATATTAAATATGAGTGCATCTCAAACACAGCTTTAAAAAAAAAAAAAAAAAAAAAAAATCTAAAATAAGGCCAAATAATGCCCCATCTCACCATATCCCATATCCCCTTAAAAAACAGGTAGCGGAACCCTTGGGTCCAGAATGAGAATCTGATTCTGAAATCTGAAATAGATACTAATAGATAATAAATACCTAATGCCCTGTACTGATGCTCTGCCATTATTCGGCCTTTGTACTTTTAACCCACCGAACCCACCAGTGGCATAATACTGGAGTCCCTGTGTGTGATATGACTTAGCTTTATGGTATATCACATACACACACACTCAGCCCTGGTCGACCCTGTCGTCTCTACCATCAAACATTGCCACTTTTTAACACCTGTAACACCTCTGTAACAGAGAGCAAAAAAAATGACTTGGCCCCACCATTAACACTCGGACGTTGAAATAGCACTCATGGCGTAAAAAGGGGCGTAAACGTCCTGCATTGATAGCTAATGCAAAAGGGGATAATAAATCACTGGCTGTTTTTTAAATGATCCCCAAAATGTGATTCGCTCTACAGCAGCCTATGAGTATCTGCACACTTCTAACGGCTTAGTTTGAGACAGAAAATACAACTTAAATATCTGAACTGAGTGACTTGAAAACAGATTCATATTTTAAATTTGATTTGGTCTGACAGATAATTTAGCTGCAAATGTTCATGAACCATTCATCAATGATCATATGGGAAACTCTCCATTTTTCTTTTATTCCAGTATCTGGGCGTTATTCCCCAGTATTAATATAAATAGATTTTATGGTTGGTGTATTGGGCTTTATGATTTAGATGTTATTTAAATTCATCAATCCATGAAAGATTAATGAAAAGTTTGATTGACTTATTGATTTATTAAAGAAAATGTTACAGATAATCAGAGTCAGAATCAGTAAAGACTCACATAAATACATAGGACGCACATTTTTCAGATGGATGTAATATTTGTATTTGCAAAATAAGTGCACACATATATATACAATAACATTTTAAATAAATGGTATCACAATTTAGATTAAAAAAATTATAAACATGGGTACTATTGAATACATCTGATAAATGTTTTGATTACTTGAGTTAATGTTTTTAAATTCATACACTGTTACATATTTTTGAACTGTTCTTCACCTAATTTTTCTTTGACTGCTTTTTGACAGATGCTGAAATACAATTTGGAAAAGAAAGCAAATGAAATGGTAATGAATTTTTCCACTCATAAAAATTGTTTTCAAGGGATTGATGAGTGTGATGAATTATTTTTACACTGTAGTGGTGCCAAGAAAAGATAAGTTTGAAAGATGGAGTTTATGAGCAATAATGGATAAGGAGTGTTTAATACTTTAGACTGCTACAACAAGAGATACAATATTTCAATTAAAATGTTTAATAACTACAAATTGCTTGTTTTAATCTTTATCACATAGCAGTGCCTAATCAGAGGAAGTCAATGTAAGCTTGTTTTTTGGAGAGAGGGACTAGTGTGAATTAAAGTGAGGGGAGTCACCTGGAAAAGTAGAGCGAGAGTAAAGTGATCTTCTCTGCTTGATACAGACAATGCCTCATAATGGCAGTTTGAGGCTTTCTCTGAGTTTATTCCTATATCAACAGAGAGAAGCAGGTACTAGCTGTGCTAAACCATCTTCCTTTGTATCACTTGACAGAAAGCTTCCCTGTAGTGTTTTAAAGCTGTTTTCACACATGCACTCCTGAAAACATTCTAGAAATTTAGAGACTTTCAGGCAAAATCTCTGCAAGCTGCCTGTGAAATCCTCCTGAGATGCCAGTTCACATTTGCACCTTACAGTACGGGGTCTGTAGTCCAAGAAAATGGTGTCCATAGTTGCATTCCATGTGTGGCAACTTTTGTGCAAGTGGTTGGAAATAAATTTGAATCTTAGATCATAATTGTTTGTCAAGTTAACCTTAACACAAAACCAAAAACATGCACGAAACAACGCCACCCTGGGATATTCACCCAAGGAAATATTTAAATATAACGGTACCAATTTATAAGGCACTCAGGTTCATTTCACTAAGAGGCAGGAGACATAATTCAATTTATAAAATTGTAATTAACTTTATCAAAAAAATTTGGTTAAAATGAAGTTAAAGAAAAACAGCAAACACACAGGGACATTGAGGGAAAAGAGGGACCATGATCATATGCTTATCAGTACTACATGTACGTATTGAAAATATTCAATTTAAATGTAGCACTGATATACAACAAAATAGGGTAGAAAAACATAGTGGCCAAATGAAAACATAATGAAGCAGGTTTATTACATCTAGAAAGACCGCACAAGTCTCGCAAAGTCGGAGTGAAAAACTTGACACAAGTTTCAGGAGCTTTGTGCATATGTGAATAGTGCTCATGTTTGACAAAAAGCATACAGATCATGAGCCCCTCAGTCCTCTAGCATAGTTTGGAAGAAAGACTAGAAGCAGCTGAAGTAGCTAACAGCTAACCTAATTTCAAAAGCTCAATTTATTAAAGAATGATCTAGTTTGTTTAATCCAAAAGAAACAACAAGTTCATGTTTTCAAACTGTCTAGAATAAAACTTTCGTTTGGCCCACAGAAGTAAGTTCATGAAACCTTAATGTCATTTTACTAGAAAATGTTATCTATAGAAAAAGCCAGATTATTGTTCCAAATGTACTTCTTGTATTAATTCTAACCAGGACAAGCTAACCAGGTGGCGTCTGTAGCTTTATTTTTAACATAGATTTTTTTTAATCCATTTTGTCTTTTTTAAAAAGTACATTAGATTTTTCCCAAAATGTTGGGCAATTACTTTAAGAAAAGAACAATTATTAAGTTTACGTTTATTTTAATGTTTAGAAGGCTCTCATTTGTTTGATTTTACTACACTCCTTGCACAGGAACAGAAACTAGCATTGCAGAACAGGTCAAAGGACAGCCACCTGATCCAGCTGGGAGAGGTTGAGAAACGTTTCAGTGCTCTGTCCAGGCAGTGCAACATGGTCAAACAGGCCCACGAGAAACTAGAACAGAATGGTAATATACGGTTGGATGGATACACACACAAAAGCATATGGTGGTCATAGCAAAGGCCTAAAACTTACATCATAGAGCACAAAGACAAATTGCACCTAAAGTTATGGTATCCTGTTAAGGAAAGGTAACAACATACTCTTAGATCAGATCTATGGCATCCTGCTGGTAAATAACATTTTATATGATTCTTTTGATCATCGTTCATTGTAGCTTTGTGTTGTCAGTTTAGAAGAAGAACCAGGTAGGGCTTTCTAGTTCAATAGTTTATTTAGGATGAGTTCTAAATTGACATTTTCTCTAATACTGCCATGTATCCACTAAGTAGATGAGTTACTTTTTTTTATCACTAATATTTGGATTATGCGAAATCCCAGCTGCATTCAAACCTTAAATAATATGTCTTGCACATCATATGGATCACTCAGAGTAAATGATACTTTGCACTTAAATGTATGTGTGCCTCACTGTTTAGTGGAGCAACTGTATTACTTAAAAAAAGGCAAAATGTAATGCTATATTCAGAGCGTACATGTTTTGTCTTAATCTGTAGACAAATTTATTGTAATAATATTTAAAATTGCACATATGTATCTTAAATTAATTATGTTATCTTGCTCTGTGTAATTGTAGTTGATGAGACCATGAAAATGAACACAAAACTGACTTCTGCAAATGGAAAACAAATATCAACCATTATATCACTAAAGAAGGTATGTCAAAAATTGCTTTAATATTTGGAATCATTTATGGTCAAGACGTCATATTTTGATAACAACTAGCTGTCTCTAAATGGTTATTCTTTCCAACATTCCCCCTTTGTTAATAAGTATTTAGTACTGTACCACAGCAAATACAATTGATGGATTCCAAAGATATTGTCTAAAGTAAAGATTTTGACAAAAGTATTCAAAATACTCGTTTAAAATGAACAACTTGGATAATCATTCAATGTATGGTGCTTTTCTCAGGGGTTGGAGGAAGCAAGTAGCAAACTGATCAAAACCAACGTGTCAACATTTCGAAATGACAAGACCCAAAATCCTACAGGAACAGAGAGGTGTTTACAGCAACTGCATCAGAAACTGAACATGGTAAACGAGTCTGTCCTATACTGAGCTTTCACACCATAATCAGCAAAGTCAACATGCCACAAAGATAACAATAGTTATAGTCTTCTATATTTCTTCTGCATTTTAAGGAAACTGAAGTCATCAAGAAAATCAGGGAAGAAAATCTAGGTTTAAGAGAAGATAAACAGGTAAAAACTTATATTATATTACTGAAAATATAAAGGAAACATTTTCTATCCAAAGTAAAACTGAAACAAATGTCTCTCCTTATGAATTAAAGATAGATTTTACTTCATCTTAAACCGAGCTTTTTCAGTCACTTCTGTCATGTGTGTATTTATTGTGGATGCCTCTATGTTCGTTTAGGAGGTGATGAGATCGCTGCAGCATACCCACCAACTTCTGTTGAGTCAGACACAGACAGTTAGCAAAGTGGAAATGGAGCTGCAGACATATAAACAGCGGTATCAGGTCAGTATTTAATTCACTGCTAGCGTTCGACAAAACTTTCTGTATTGTAAATATTCATGTAAGCTTAATTTGAAACATAGTTACACTACCTGCATACAGTCTGTAAGTGGATCACCACAGGAAAAATTTAAAACTTTATTTAATATTATTATTTGTATTTATTTGTCCTGGCACCCTCCCTGTATATGTAATACCATGACTCCTCAAACCACAGGTCACATAACACAAATATATCCAAATCCATTGCACACTCATAATCAAATCAAATATTCATAATTATTATTTTTTTCAACAATAATCCCCACTCTCAGGCTAACCTTACATCATCCATACATGCTGTAACTGGTTTGTGTTGCATTGTTGTCAAACTTATGTTTGTTAATTGAAATTTAACTCACAAATAAAAATACTTTCAAGTTTAAATGAAAGCGTAGAATGTCAAGCTATAGAACCACATTGTATAATCATCCAGTCTGTAAACGCCCTGACACACCAAGCAGACGGCAAAGAACTAGTGGCAACGAAGGGCGCCTGTGGCATCGCCTCACGCCAACCACCTTGTGCGTTCTGCTCATGAGTGAGAGGAATTACTCTCCATGCCAGCAGGGGGCGGTAGTCCGTTGTTATGATACGACAACACCATCTTGGATAAATAGATTGCCCTTTTGTTGCTTCTCCTAACTTTGGCCTTATATATTCTCTTTTTTTATTTTCTATAAGCCGTATCCTTCAATTATTATTGAGGCCAAAGTTAGTAAGTATGCATAAATGATAGAGTATGTTTTTGTGTTGTGCAGGTAAATACCCAGCACTACCTAATGGTCACTCTCTGATAAGGAATCTTTCAGGGTTCTTAAAATGATAATAGAAAGTTTAAACAAGGACAGAAATAAATGACATCCATTATTTCTCCTTTGAAATGTGAGTGTGGTGTATCACAACACATGCATCATGAATATGGCCCCTGTGTGCAACTGAATTATACTCAAAGTGTTTATTATCCCTTCATGGCTTTACAGTTTATTCACTTTTCAGTACCTAGATCCCTTTTTTGAATTTTACTTCACCTATTAATTTATATATATTAAACTCATTATTTAAAATGACAAGAGCCAGCTGATTTGTATTAGAAAGAAGCCCTCTCTCTCCCTGTCCTGTGTAAGACTCACATTAATGTTAAATAAGCACATAAAAATTTAGTGTTGCATTAAAAATCCTATAGGTGATTAATTTTATTGCAGGACCTTAAGCAGGAACATGAGTTGATGCAAGAGAAAAGCAAGGCCATGGAAAACAAGGTTGCCCATCTGATGGAGAGTTCAATATCCTCAAAGACCAGCTGGGACAAAGAGGTAGGAGAAACACTTTAATATATAATATTACATAGTGACATGCTGTGTTTAAAAAAAAAAAAAAAATCAGGTTAGTTTGTAATGCTAAAAAAAGGAAAAATGTTGATGATTTATAATTATCATACTGAAATAGGTGATCAAGTCTTAAATTCGTCTCTTTGTATTTCACAGAAGGCTGTGTTTCTGGATCACATCAAGAGTCAGCATCAGGACCTTCAAGCTGTGCGAGAGGCTTATGACAAAATTAAACAGGAACACTCCAAACTCTTGCTGAAATCTACGCTTTTAAATGGACTGAAGGTAAAGACAGACAATGGCACAAACACATGTAAAGTGGCCTTTGAAACACTCAAAAAACAGGGTAATTAGAAATGACACAGAAAAATGACAAATGCGAACAGACAAAGATATTCATTTTAGGATTTTACTTTCCAACTTTTAGCTTATTATAAGATGAACTTTATTTTCCCAGTGGGAAATTTTCCTTGGACTCCACCGTGCTTTGATGCAGCAACAAGATATCAAAGTACATTCATTTATCCATCAGTAATGCATGTCCAGTTAAATAATCATTCAATTCTGTACATAGAAATGACTAAAACCATAAATATCATAATAATTAAGAACAGTGATGAACAACTGCAGGTTCAACGACACATCCACACACACACTCACCCCCACACACTCATACACACTTAAGCCTCTTTTCGAACAAAGATCCCCAGAACTAAAAGGTTCAGGGGCTTCTCTTCAAGGAACTAAAAGGTTCCTGTGGCCCAAAGTTGTCAGCATTTCCTTGAACCAAATTAGGCTGTATTGCTTTGCGAACAGCTTAATTGATTAACAATGAAAGGGAGACGAGTGCTGTGTTCAGTGTGTCAAAGGGAAAGAGGAATTTAATGAAAAAGTTAGACGAATTAAACTGGAAACCTAACCCCCCTCATTTTACCAAACACATAAAAAACACCTTTTAGGAAGATGAATGATATCAACCCCTTCAGTGAATTTCTTAAAGTTAATATTGGGGGGAAAGTATTTTTGTAATTATGACATTGAAACTTTAGAACATCTAATTTTTGATTTTGAATACTCAAGATCTTTATTGGGGTCATTTCACAGTTGGATTTCTGAAAAAGATTAACAGTCGACAAAGTTAGAATATAATATAATCAAAGATGGAATTCTAAAGAAGAATAAAATAAGAAAAAGTACAATTCACTCATTATTTGGCCAACTTAAATGTAGATTCTTTATGTAGAAGTCAAACCAAGTTTTTTTTTATCTTCATGAATGAGTTAATAACTTAACGCTTAACACATGACACTTAAATTAAAACTAATCAAGTTTAAGAGAAAAACAAACTATAAAGTTTGACTCCTGATTAGACTTCTGACTATTCTTCTTTTGTTGTTTGCTTTTCTATTTATTTAGATTTTTAGTTATGTTTTGTTCATTTGTTCTTTCCCGTACCGTGCTTAAGCATGATTGCCCCCCTCCTCCTCATTTCCCTGCTGGCCTTTTATACATAACGTTGTTATACAGCATATGCATAGCTTTATGTTATAATGAAGCATGCTCAGTTAAGAAGACAGGCGAACTCCAGAAACATATTTAAAAAGTGAAGCGTGGTCGAGTCTGCACATCAGAGAACAACACAGAGACAACTACTACAACTACTTTACAGAGCTTACTTTGAGTCATTTTAATCAGATACAGCTATGAATGGGTATCGTTAGGATTTTATTTATACTGGTACTGCTTATTGATACCGATACTTATCGATACTACTTTTATTACTTGGTGCAAAAACTAAACCTATGACTTGAAAGATGTCTAATGTAAAAGATAAAATATATAACTAGAGATTTCGTTGCAATAAGAGGATTGACTTTATGTGTATGTTTCAAGGAAACATTTGTAACTTAAAATGATTATTTTTGAAGTTGAAACACTTAGAAATAGATGCCATTTTCATTACACTCCCTGGACATTTTAAGTAACCTCAGAAACTCTGACTTCTGCATATGTCCTATAATGGTTATACTTTGTTTTTACCATTTCATTATCGTAAATGTTTAGTCGTCTACAATGTGCTCTGTGATGCTTCTCGTGTTACGTTTCTATCACAGTAAAATGCTGATATGTTAAAATAATGTCATTTTACTGAGACCAAACACATCAGGGTGCTAAAGATTAACTTAATGATATGACATCAAGACACATTGCTCTCCACGGGGCAGGAGAGAGACAGAAAGCTGCAGGTAACAACACTAAGGTAAATCACTGAAGTCAATGAATATCTTCTCTCTGTTAACAGTGACAAACAGAGTGACAGATGAACGATCCTCCACAGGCTGCAGAGGCAGCGCTTGATCCTGCGTATAGGAGCAGAAAATAATTCTCTGACTCTGGTTTTCTGAAGCACATCGTAGTAACGACGAGCGTCTCTGCAATAAATTTCCTTTTTTTCTTTTGTTCAGTTGTTTTGCTCATATTTATCAAAGACTCCTCTCAGCTGAGCCTCGGCCCACAGACACAGACAGAACACTCCAGATTACTCCATAATATAGGCGGTCACACTGGGAATCCCTGCCGTGCCTAAGCATGCGTCACCCCTAAAGTCCAAATCGTTTGACCAGTGTGACCGCTCCGTGCCGTGTTCAGGCACAGTACACTTCCTTGGCCTTGGCACGCTTGAACAGTCATGTTCTCTGTGATGTTCTCTGATGTGCAGACGTGGACTCAACTGCACGTCCCTTTTTTTTTTATTATCCTCGAGTCCGTCTGTTTGTAAACTGAGCACGCTTCATAATTACATAAAGCATGCATGTGTTGTATTACGAAGTTATGTACAAGAGTTTGCTTAGGCCCGGTTTGTCCTGGAGCAGTGTAACCGCAGGCTCGTGCAGGCCAGTTGGGGAATGTGGAGGGCGGGAGCAATCATGTTTAAGCACGGTACAGGACAACATTGCCAGTGTGACTGAGCTCTTATGGCGCGGCCACACTAGCTATCCGTACCGGCTTGGTAGAAAAATACAGACAGACAAAATGTGCATATTTTGTGAGTATTACATCATGTTTCTGTTTTCATGTGCAAACCACTTTATATTATTCTGTGGTATTTTATCTTTTATTGAAACTTTTTCCTCGGGATCAATAAAGTATCTACATATCTATCTATTCAATTTTTCTATTCAATTCAAAATTGCTTTATTATCATGGAAAACATACGTTTACATTACTAAAGCTAAAGTCAAAATAAAACACAAAATTAAGTAGAATTAAAGAAATCAAAGATTCAATATTAAACTAATATTGTAAATATATGTAATTTTAATGACAGATTTAAATTAGACCTGTCCGATATAGAGCAGACCTCTTTTGCATTAGATGTGGGGCTTTTGCAATATAATTAAGGTTTTTATTCCTGATTGATTTGAACAAAACTGAGACATGAGTTTTATGTGATTTCTTATTATTATAACATGTGAAGTGAGCTCAGAAACTCACCTGATGTATTCTGTTTCTACCTGTTGGAAATTATTTTAAAAACCTGGCTAATCATAATAAGTAAGGTCTTTTACCTGCTTTTTGTAAAGTGTCTTGAGATAACACTTGTTATGAGTTGACGCTATACAAATAAAAATGTATTTATTGATTGATTGATTAATCTAAGTTCGATTAGCCTGATCCTGAGCAGACTTGTTCACCAACATAAGTTACCATGGTAACTTAGTTAGGATTCATCATTTTAATCCTGCTTCATGGTATGACCCCTGGTGTTTTGTTGTTGTTTGCTTTAATAATTGTAATTAAAGCAACTTTAAATCCTAAAAATGTGACATCTTTTCTCTTAACAGAGGAGAGACGGCCGCCAATGCCAGAATTATAACAGCCAGCACTTTCCAACTTTAGAGGAGAGGATTGATGAACCGATCTCTGAATCTGACCTACCAGCTCTGCAGAACTTGGCCTCCACTAAGACCAAAAACAGAGACTCTCCGGAGGACACAGAAGCAAAGCTTATAACCACTGAAGCAATTGGAGGTCAGCCAGATTAATATACAGTACACTAAACTATTTATAACTTGTTCTTACAATTTAGTAAGCAACTATCTTGACTGACGACTAGAGAATCACATCTCAACATTATGACCTTTATTTATTCTTATGCCATCATCCTGAGTAGAAGTGTAACACGATACTGTAAAATATGATCTGCCCCCGCTCCCAAAAGCAAAAGCTGAAACTAATATTCAAGTAAAATAAATTATTTATTATTATTAGAGAAGTAAAAACATGAGCAAGAACCCAAACAAATATGTCTGTGTTAACAAAAGGCCAATTGCAAACTTACCTGAAATAGAACAAACCAAAAAAAGACTTCCACCAAACCTCCTTAACCTAAAGCAGAACAGAAGAGGCTACAGAATTTTTACGAAGGGTACAAAATAACCAGCTGTTGCAAACCTTTTATTTTTCTTAACTTTTCTTCTGTGATCTCTTTCAGGACAAGATGTTCGAAATCCTACTCAGCAGTTTAAATTTAAACAGCACCTTAACCCCTTGAACTCGTTGACCTTCCTACTCACCAGAAACAACCTTGTCGGCCTCTGTAGTCCTAATGGGACAGCATGCATCATATCAAAAGAACACTTAAATGTTAGCACAAGTGTGAGGGGTTCTAATGTCGGGTCAGATTTAAATTCTTCTTCTTCCTCTTTTTCTGAAGATGGTCTGCAGATTAGCAAAACTGTGTTTTGCAGTGTGAAAGACTCATCAACTGCATTATGCCTTGACAATGGGTCTATTGATGAATCTTTAGACTCGCTAAGCCAAGATGTTAGTGTTGAAGGGAAGGGAACTGAGCAAAATCAGGGATGGATTGATGATATGAACAAAGGAAAAAAAGACAGAGAGGAAAGTAATAGAGAGCAGCATTATAGCAAAAAAGAAGTCCACAGAGAAGATGTGAAGGGGGGCCGAACTGATGGACTACAGAGAGGAATAATCATTACCCAAAGAACAGGAAGAGTAGACAGACGAGAGGATAGCCAGCAGTCATCAGAGGATGCGGGGGACAGCAAACAACCTGGAACAGCCACAAGAGATAGAAAAGAGGAAGAAAGGACAAATGGAGCAGAGGAGACAGAAAAACCAAAGCTACACAGGCCAGAAAACCAGATAGATGCCCAGATGACTACTTACACAACTACAGAAAAGAGCAATCCACAGCAGGACCTTAACATCATGGATGCGGAGACACTACTCCCTGCCTGTGTTACCTCAGACTGCTCTCAAAAAGTCTCTGAAAAGGATGTTGACTCAAGCTACGTGACCACAGGATATGAGATTCATAGAGAACAACAAAGCTTTAGTCCTAATGAACACCAATGTATCAACCATTGGCCAAATGATCTCATTCAAGAGGTGCAACTCTTCTGCCATGATGAGGTCAAGAGTTTTGCTCAAGATGCTCTGCCCCCACTCAGGTGATGAGTTTAAGTCGTCAAATGCTAGAGGAAACGCCGGAAGGGGATTTGTCCAACAAATCAGCAGGACACATCCCAAATAAAGTGTCTGACACACTGAATCAGCCAAGTATGTATAGCTCACAGGACAATGTTGCATCGCTAGTGGCCCAGTTGGACTGTAGTGTCAGTATTCAAGAGTCAGAATCAGCTCATATACAACCAAGTAATCTTTCCAACACAAAGAGAAAAGACGAAATGTCTGAAACAAATTTGAATGAAGAATGTGTATTAGTGAGAAATTTGGATGAAACACAGGCATTATCTCAAATTCAGGAAACCCAAGATAAGGAGCGTGCACAGCTATTAACCGATTATAGGATGGATTCTAATGCATATGAACAGGAAGCTCAGCCCAACATTCACATAGAGGGAAACAATGTAAGTAACGCTGCCATGGAAACTAAAATGAATACTTACAGCTGTCACAAGAAAATTTGCATAAGAGAAGATGCAGGAGATGCAATGGCAACCAATTGGGAGACAGACTGGAAGCCATATGTCAATTCAAGCCATGTGAAAGATGCATCATCAGCAACTAAGCAGACTCCAGCAAATGAACCACTACTTGATATTGAGTCAACTTACAGGCCAGCACATGACTGGAGCGTTGATGAGAGAGCAGTTAACCACTCAGATGGCTCCGTCCTGCATCAGTTTGTTCAGGTAATTCAATTAATACAACATGCTTTTTATTAGATAAGTAGACAACCAATGGTCCAAAGGCACTTCACATTTGTCTCTTACCTTCTGACTTTCTCCATTGTTCTTCATTCTCACTTTTCCCTTTTCTAAATTAGGGCGTGGTCTAACTGGCAATCTGTTCCGTGCCTAAGCATGCTTCCCCTAAAGTCCAGTTTGTTTGACCAGTTGAACCACTCTGCAACGTGCTCAAGCACAGTACACTTCCTTCGGAGAGGTGTGCTTCGGCACAGTACACTTTATGCACGAGCACAAGCACAAGCACGCGGGTACACACCGCTGACAGCCTTCATTATGGAGAAATCCAGAGTTTCATGTTTGTATCTGACTAACATGACTCAAAGTGAAGACACAAAGTAGCTGTCTTCTCTCCCAAGTTCAGACGTGGAGTTGACCGCGTGTCTCTTTTATTTTTTTAATTTATTTATGGCTGTATCTGATTAAAATAACTCAAAATAAGCCACGAAGTCAGTAAAGTAGCTGTCATGTTCTCTGTGATGTTCTCTGATGTGCAGACGTGGACTCGACTGTTCGTCCCTTTTTTTTGTCTTTTTCTCGTGTCCGCCTGTTTGTAAACTGAGCACGCTTCATTATAACATAAAGCATGCATGTGTTGTATTACGAAGTTATGTACAAGAGGTAACCATGCTTAGGCCCGGTTTGTCCTGGAGCAGTGTGACTGCAGGCCGTGAGGGCCAGCGGGGGAATGGGGAGGAGGGGGTCAATCGAGCTTAAAGGGATACTTCACCCGTTGAAACATGAATCTGTATTGACATTGGGTCATATCTGTAGTAGAAATGTGAAATACATTTTGAAGTTGATGCCTTCTTGGCTGAGGAAAGGCAGAAAGTGTCTTTTTGGCTCATGTGGATGAAAGACAACAACTCCCAGAATGCACAGCACTGCAGGCCACTCCCACTTATCTAGAGACCACCACCTACTAAGCTAGCTACCACCAGACTGAGGCGAAATTCATCTCACACAATTCTAGTGATGAGTTAGGCCCCTTGTCCACCAAGCATTTTTTCCAGGCAGAAAAGTGCTGGCTGTACACTCGGGAGTGTCTGCATGAAGCGTTTGTGCACTGAGAAGAAAAGCGCTGCACATCTGTCCATTCAAGTTGAAAATCTTTCAACTTTTTAGAACGGCGCTGTTGACGTCATGGGCGCTCTTTTCAAAATAACGATTTTTTTGCATTATCGGAGGCTCCTTTTCAGACGAGAAATACGAAGCTTTCCCGTCTCAGGGGAAAATGAGGACGGGATTGATGATCATTCAAAAATACTACCAGGTTTCTAATGATACAAAGCTTAATGCAAATGGGGGAAGTATCCCTTTAAGCACGGTACGACAACATTGCCAGTGTGACCATGCCCTTAGTCCCTCTCCCTGCAAACTCTCACTGATTGTTAATAAGATCATAGTGCTGCAAATGCAAGTGACTGACTTCAAGATAAACTGTAAGAAAAATCATTGGTTGTATAGTTACACAAATTGTAGTAAGGGTCTAAGCACCTTTTATCAGCAGATTCTACACACTGGTAATGTCACATAGACATCAGTGTTGTCCTGGCTACTTTCTCCGGGTGGATACTGTTCCCACTGATATTGTCTACCTGTATGTTCATTGGTTAACGATCCATTACCTAGACATTTTTAGTATCCTCAGGAAGAAAAAGCCATTGAGAAAAATGACTCCTTTTGACCTTTTGATAAACTTAGTTACCTTTTTTTTTTTTTACACAGGAGAGCAGAGCTTCTTTATCCGTCAGTTTGCTTCCAGTCTCCTCATCCTCCCACACAGTCAGCAGACTATTATGGCAGACCACCCCAGTGTAAGTTCATCTTGTTCCAGAATAAAAACTTGATTGCTTAGCATTGCAAACTACACTATAACCTTTCTAAAAGCTTAATTCCATAACTAAACACGCTGTGAAGGTTACTGCTAAAACTCATGAACAACAATTGTTGTGGATCATCAAATTTATTTTTTGTGACAAATATGACAATCATTTTGCAATTCATTTATATATACGTACATAATACACATACATATAGTTTGTCAGAGCACACATACTGTAGACAGTCAGTATGACCACAAAGTCTGTCTTAATTCTTAATGCAACTGCAAAATGTAGGTAACTAGTATTTATTCTTAATTGGGAGTAACTGTGTAATTTCTGGTTGTTTCTCCGTACACCAGGCATGGCAGAGCTCCTACCTCAACTGCAGGTCCAAGTTTAGAAACAGACTGGGGGACGTCCCACATCCTTCCAGTCAGGGAAGACCAACACTCATTCAGAGCCCAGATCTCTAAAATTGAACAGTTTCTTAACACAGACAGACGAAGAACTGACAACTAAATATCCAAAGCTTACTGTTTTGTTGAGGGATGCTATGTTTCTATAGTTAACTTTCTTCTGTTGCACATACATTGTAACTCCTGAAAGAGAAGGTTTAAAGTATTAAAAGTTTGATTCATTTTCCTCCGCAAACATGGGAGTTTCCTTCTGTTAATGTTTTCAATGGGTTTAAAGATAAAAGTTGTTAAATTGTTTGAGGGGGTCCACTTTTTGGTAGAATCAATTTCCTGATGTGATCACATGTTCACACATTTCAACAGTTTCTAATGTTTTTGGAAATTGTTGAAATGTCATTGTTCATTTTTTGGTAAAACCTTTAGTCTACATTTGGACTTTGTTGCATGAAGTTGAATATAGCCTTAGTTAATCGTATGATTAAAAAGCATAAAATATGTTACACGGTACTATTATCTATTATTTTGCTCTAAAGCAGACATCTCTTCTTCACAAGGAAGTTTTTAGATTTCCCGTGGCAGTCGGGCTGGCTGAGTCGAATCTGTACTGCCTCACTTACTAAAAGAACACTATTTCACACGTTGTGGGGGTTGGATGTCATTTAATGGATCAACAAAACATAAAATTCACAGCACAAAATGTTGAGTCTTGCACAGCATGGAGTCAGATAAACAGACTGCAAATGCCAAGCACCATTGTCAGTTCAAAAGGCCTGTAACTGTTAACATGGTAATTAAAAATAATTAGCCTCATGCATATCTGGGTTGCATGTCTCAAATGAGCTCTAAGGGGTTTAGGCAGCTATGGGTGACACCATGTTCATTCTTCTGCTGCTGCAAAACATGTTAGAACCTCTTTAAATCAATTAAGAAAAAGGTAATTAACAAAACACCCACAATCCCAATTAACCAAAATCAATTAGAAATGAACAGTCTAATTAACACATGCTTACACAAGTCTCTCTTTAGTCTCTGACCCTGTGTGGGCATGAAGCAGCTGACTAGAGATTCTTTTACATATATTTGTATTGTCATACATGTATCATATAAGGTTTAAGCTGAGAAGCAGAGGCAAAACCTTTTTTTCTTGCAGTTTATACTAAAGTGTTGAATGACTACTGGTGACAGTCATTTTGTACCAAATATTGGAAGGTTGATCTAAACAAAACATTTTAACAGTAAAATCTCTTAAAGGTCACTTTTCCATATGAAAGGGGTGTATTTTTTTTACATGTTTTTTCAATGCAAGGTTTCTTTATTTAGTTGAATTTCTTATTTGTTTAACAGAACATTGTGTAGCTAATTGTAAACGTTTGTTTTGCAGAAATGCTTTAAATACAGAAATTATTATTATTGTTTTGTTGTTGTTGTTGTTGTTATTATTATTGATAATAATGGTCACAGCAGTCAAACTTGCTGATGCAGCCCAAAAATGTTTTGTTGTCATGAAAATGCTTGAGCAGGCAGCATTTACACTCAATCACCTCTACTTGGCACTGTAATAATCAAGTTGAAATTTTTGCAATTTTCTCCTTAAATGGCTCAGCCTAAAGTCAAAATTCTTATTTTTATCTCATGTCAGCTGGTTCTTTGTTCTGATGGTCTTAAATATTAAATTTAGTTTCCCATGTTTTCTCAATCTCACCTATTTGCACAAGTCCTGAAAACAGTTTGGCCATCTGTTAGAATCTGTTTCAGTTTGCACAATCTAGTGTCATGACTTACTAGTAAGTTAATTCAAAGGATCGGTTACTGGGAATGACTTTTTTCACAACAAGTCTAACTCAGACAATTCCAGAATAAACAAAAATCACTGACACAGTCACTCTACATAGCCTTAATTAAAATGCTGCCGGTAGCCTAGTGGTTATTGTGCGCGCACCATGTACCGAGGTTGGAATCCTCCCAGCGGGTGGCCCAGGTCCTAATCCAAGCTGGTGCTCCTTTCTCCCACGTCATTCCCCACTCTCTTTCCCAAATTTCTGACTATATCCACTGTCTTATCTCTAAATGAAGGCAGAAAAAGCTTCTTTGTTTACCTTAAAAATGCTGCAAAAATAGACACAGACATTCTTTGTATACTAAAGAAATCATGTTCAAATGATTGTAAGAAATGTCAAATGATGAGGCAACTTTTGCATTCAATTGATAATTGTAATTCTTACTGTCATAATATTTGAATTACATCAAACATTTTCTGTTATTCTAATTAATCTCATATTTTAGTTGCACATTTAAAATTTCATAGATTTTTCATCATGTGTACCTGCGGGCCACAGAGTACTGTTGTTCTTTAGCCATGCCCAAAGCAGTTTCAGGTACTAAAGACAACAATTAAAATAAGTTGTAAAAAGCATTAAAGTCAATTGAATATATTTGTGTACAAAGGGTCAAGCTGCTTATATCTCTCTTCTAAAGCAGAAACATTTTCATTTCTTGGTATATTTTCTTTCAATGTTGCAAAAATGTCCACTAGTGAAGATAGAAAGTTTATACTGCTAACAAAGACCCCTGCCTTCTCTAGCTCCCACATTCATTCTCCTCACATACTATAATTAACAGTCCACATTTGATGGTGGCATAAGGTTTCCTCTTGGTCCATCCTACCACATTTAATGATTATGAATAGACATGAATGTTAATGGGCTCATAAAGAAATCTGAAGCGGTTGATTGGCTCTGTCTACTATTGCTGACCCTTATCCCTATGGGTAGGAAGGGACTGGAGGGGTTGAGAGGTGGGGGAGGTGTTGATCATAAGTCTACTATTGCTGACCCTTATCCCTATGGGTAGGAAGGGACTGGAGGGGTTGAGAGGTGGGGGAGGTGTTGATCATAAAGGAGTCACTTTTAATGTTCACACAAATATGCACGTTCAGTTTCTCTCTCACATACACTTTCTGTCCCTTCCTCCCTCTTGCAGACGTACACAGGATGGGTTATAAAGTGTTGGAGCTTTGAAACAGTCAATAACTCCCTGGCTAGGGAGGATACCTGCTGTTAATTAATGCCCAGTGTTTTATCCAGGGTAAATAAAGAGACTGCTGACATTCACATTCCATCAATGTGTCCCCCCATACACCCTTTTTTGTGACTTTGTTTTTTTTTATATTAAATACACTGTTGGTGGTGGGTGCCATGGGAAAAACACCTTAAGACTTTCTTTTATAGAATATAATATAATAGAACATAATCTTAGTGTTCTCTTTAGTAGCACCTACAGCAGATAGGTAGAAGTGCAGGTGTGATTATATACATCCATACATCAGCTTTATCTGAGTACCAAATTTCTTTGTTGTTTTTTGAGTTTGCACTTTCTTTCTTTCTTTTTCTTTTTTTACTTTAACAATCTGAAGTCATTGTTTGTTCAGCCATAGATATAATTAACTCTTAACTCAACAGTGACCAGATGAAGAAAACACCACTTCAAGCCCGGCGCAGTCTAGGCCTGTGAAGGCTGTTTCGTCATGAGCCGGGGATCCAACCGAAGATTTCTGCCTTTTAATAAGGCAGTTTTTTCTTACCACTGTAACTTTTGCTGCTTTGCTAAAGTGCTCATGATGGATAGTCTTTGTAATATAGCAATAAGTATGGTTTTTACCTGCTTTTGTAATATTAAAAAACACAATATATTGACTTAATAGAGACTTATAACACTGCATATCTTTGAGATTAAATATTTGTCCCTGGGGTTCTGATAAATATACCTTGAGCCTATGTGTGCCACGTCCAGTCAAGGGTTTAGCAGTTAGTCAGTTTGAGGTTCTAAATTTGATGTAGCCCATTAAAAACCTTTGTTATAAATTGTTTGAGTATCACTTTAATTCGACGGTCAATAAGAGTTTATAATACATAAAAATCTTATCATCTAAACAGATTAAGCGATGTTAATGGCTGGATGTAAAGGATCCTCCCAGAAGGAGACTGCAGACTACAACATGATGCAGAAATATAGAAGACTTCAAAACTGACAAGATGGGTCTTCAAACGGTAAGGTCAGGCTTTTTCTTTTCCTACATGAGTTCCATTTAAATATGAGCTTCAGTGTTAAAGATGGAACACTAGTCTGGTTGATACAAGCATATTTTGAACACTTGTTTTTCATTTTCTCTTAAAGGGGGAGGTGTTTACTCAATCCTAATTTTATTGTTAGTAACTAAATGTTTTTATAAATGCATTTCATATACATTATTTGTGCATTTTATTTACTTCTCAGTTGGAGTATCTAAAATGTAACAGTATTTATGTGTGTGTTTAATTAAGTGTCTGCCTATCTCCTGCCAAATCCTCAGAAATGAAAATACCTTGGAATCATGCAGCGACCCACGAGTGTTAACCAAAACTAAAATCAGGAAAAAGACAGGTTATTATCTCATTCTCTTATTATACTCATTTTGTAACTATATACATTTGGAAAATGTTTCCCTCATTTATGAAAGGAGTCTCATCGTGCTCATCTCCACTCATTGAGACACTGCAGAGTTTCCATTCAAACTGTATACAAGAAACAAAAATCCACCATCATGTCTATCCATTTGAGGGCTCTGCCAAGTGTACAGTATGTGTATATGGTGGTGTCAAATGTCCCTTGCAAAGACTCCTTGACTCCTGTACTCAGGTTTTAAGCTAAGATTAATAAAGAGGGAATGCACAATGGAGACAAAATATCACACTGCAATTGTTCTGTCAGTTATTCAGATTGAACTTGAAATTGATTACATTCCTTTTTAAAGATGAACAGTTATATACTATCATTTATACTACATTTCACTACCTGATGGATTTTATGTTAAGGTTGAATTTACAAAATATATGGATTAGATTTTGTGTCATTTAATATATTTCTCAGCCTATCCTAAACCAGAAATAATGCCTAAGGGCCAAGTGAAATTGAATGAAGAAAGCCGGTTGTGTTGTATAGGACACTGCAAGTAGCAATACCATAATGTAACAGACTGACTATATTAAAGTATTCTTTTGGTTCATTTTGTTGTTTACTACTTTCTGAACCCCTTAGGTTGAAATGCTTGTCCACTTAAAACATAAACATCCTTGTAAATACTGCCTAACAGTAGTTTGATTAGCAGTGCACATTCTCTGTTGACAGTTAATTGTCTGCATTTAAATGGGTTAGGGTAGAACACTTTTCTTACTATCATTTTGTGTGAACTTTAATCTTATTTCAGTGCTTGAATCATGTGGACATAGCATTTCACCCTTCAGTACAATCGAAGGTTACAAATAACCCATAAACACCACAATTTTCCTCTTTTTTTAGAACAAAGACGAAACCTCAGATGAATCAACAGATGAGAGTGTTCATAGAGACTACAGTTATGTTGATTACATACCTGACACTGAGGGAACTGACTGATGGCAGCATACCTTAGTCCCCTGAAAACACACAACAGAGGTCACGATTTCCCCAATTAATAGCAGCAATAGTGAACAGCCCCGAAAAAGAAAGTATAGAAGAAGACCACGCAGGAAGGAAGAAGAGGAGACTGACATTCAGCCCAGAGACAGAAAAAAGCTGGATTCATTTACTGTGTAGCTCATCTACTCAACAGCATTGAGTCTATGAAAAGGGGACCGATTGCCTTTATTGATCCAAGCCGACACCTGAAAATCGAATAACACCTTCAAACTCTGCATTGTAACAAATCAGAGGTTGAAAAACCATTTTATTATCCAAAAGAGTCCAAAGAACGGCAAGTCTGGAACAGGAACAGAGGAAACTTTACACAATACAGCTGGGGTGAGAAAAGGAAGTGGACATCTTGTTGCACGTTACCGAACAAAGGCAACCAGATGTGGTATAGATTTTATTCACTGTGTTTACTGTCAAGGTCTATACTCAAAAAAAACACATTGTATGAACATATCAAAATCTGTCCGGAGAAGACAAAAGAGGATGCACCCCAGGAGATAGAGAGTTCATTGTTTTTTTTTGTTGTTTAGTTAAAAAGTTTCTTCTCCTTTATTTTTTTGCACTTCAGTTTGTGTGATATGTCACTGGGTTTGACATTAATCTTTACACCATGCTTATTATTTGGTAGTGGTTTGTTGTGTGACAATTATTACATGTTTACAAGGCTGGAAGTTAAACAGATCAGTCAATATGAAACTGTCATTCAAATCATTTCATTTATCATCTAATTTGATCATAGGCAACATGTACTATATGCCAGGCCCTACAGTAAACACAGTTTAAAAAAAAATCGCAATTGGATTATTTCCCAAAATCATTCAGCCTGATTTAGGAATACAAGGTTTCATATTACTGTGATAGTGCTATACTGGATTCTTCAGATTCAGAGTTCTTCCTCTGATTTAATTTAGCTT